CAGCTGCCAAGGATTGGGCTCTTATATTTGTTTAGATAGCTACCATTATTATTCAATTCCTCTTGCTGACTTCACCTATTTCTTTTCACCCCCAGGCTATGCAATGTTGGATTGCTCTGCTGAGATAGTTAGCAACTAGCATCAGTAATTTTTGGTTGGTTGATATGTATATATATTTTAATTCCTTTTGAAAAAGGAAGCAAGCTGTAATTCTTTGCAGCTTTTCAAGCTGTGGCAAACACTAAAGATATTTCAGTGGAACAATGGTCTAATCCAGAAGTTCACATACTGCTTGTTACAGGTGGATCAGTTCCTCCACCATCACACTGCATACTGAAGTATTACAGAATTGATGACTTATTTTTTTTTTCCTCAGTGCTTCAGGCAAGAGACTCCTATAAAATGCTTGTATTTCCCCTTGTTTAACCTTGCAGTCTTTCTGCAAGTTAGGGTAAGAACTTGGTTGAGTTTCAAGAAAACTACAGCTTTAGATTCTTGTAAGCACAGTTTTATCTGTACAGAATCTCACTGTGAATTACGTATTTCCTCACTACAGCTAAGCCCAGTGTTAACTTTTCCTACGTGACCTGCTGTAGACAGAGCTTATTTTCCTTCAGAGGGGACAACGTCTCACCATAAGAAAACTAAGGGTGTTAGGTGGGGGATGATCCTGTTCTCCCTACCGTTCTTGTTAACACTTAAACTGGGTTAAATTCGTGGGGAAAGTGCTTGTCTGTGATAATATACAGGGTGACTGTATGTTGCTGCATGTTCAGTATGAAATAGAATAACCAGTGGTGTGGGTGTGGTGGATGCACAGTGACACGTTTGTGTTGATGACCTGGAAATCAGATGGTCTTACATTTTCAGCCTGTTCAAGCAAGAGGAGTTGAGTACTCATGGAATAATGCAGCAGTCTTTTCTAGTGAAGCACTGGCTTCCCTCTGCTTCTGTGGTTGTGTAGGCTTAAAATACACACCACTTCTGCATGTAATTTTTTTCCAGCTGTCTTAGAATTGTGGAATGATGTATGTTAGCCGTTCCTCCTGAAGCTGTCTTTCAGAAACACCATTTTTTGGTGCACCATTAAAGTTACTGAATGTGTTAGAGTGTAGTGCAAATGAATATTATCATCTTCTAGTTGTTTCTATTAAATTTAAGTGTAAATCTAGTGACAAAGAAGTAATGTTAGCCATCAGGGACCATCCAATTGCAATGTTTCATATTGTGGCAGGGAGAGGTTCAGGCATTGTTCCTGAGACATGAAGGCTACCTGGGAGCCATTGGGGCATTTTTAAAAGGAGCTGAACAAGACAGTAAGTACAGCATTGCTATGTTCTGTATATGCTGTGTTCTGAAATGTCAGTGTAATGTCCAAGTTTCTCTTAAGAGGCTGCATGTAAGTTGTTGCCTAGATAAACACATTTGGCACTAATAAACACAGATGCTGGGCTTTGCTTTATATATTTTGGCAAGGGTGTGATAATTTCTCACTGTTTTCCTGCTTGCCTCTGAGAATCCAGCAGGATTTGGCTCTTCTCTTTTCTGCATTTCTGCAGTCATGCCTCTAAATCAAATCAGGGAAATTGAGTTTGAGAACTTTCTTCCTCATAAAGAGGCCAGCTTTTGAATTCAGTTAATGTACTGAAGAAGAACAGCATCTCAAAACTGTGTTCATTTGAGAGTGAAAAGCCTCATAAATGTTTATAAAGAATGAGACAATTCTTTCGAGCATTCTCTGGGTGTAGGATGCTTTGGTTGAATTCTGCCATTTGTATTTTCTTGTTTTCTCTTTGTGCTACGTGCCATTCAGTGCATTCATCGTAGTGGAACAAATCACAGGTTATTATGGTACTTAGCTTTAGTAAATATCACGTATATCTCAGAACAGTGGAAGCCATTTTGTACCACTCCATAGATAACAGCAAGGAATTCAGCTCAGAGCTGCCCAGGTGAGAAAGTTGTTGTTCTGTTGGCCGTATGGCAAACGTCTCAACTTCCAGAAACTCTAAAGAAAAAAATCTGAAAGTAACTTCAGCGCTGATGTGAAGCTTACACTGTGCTCTGAGAGTTCTGCAATCTATTCTGTTAATGATGGACATTTAAAAACAAACAAACAAAAAAAACCCCCAACTCTCTAATAATAGAAGCTTTAGCCATCTATGGTGCTTAAAGAACAGGATTTCTTCAATAGCTCTTAATGATTAGGAAAAGAAAGGGGTTAAGAAAAAAATGCTTTTTGAATTGTAATCTTGTGTCTCATTTGAAGTTCTTTAGAGTTGGATGATTCAGCAAGTAGTTAAAATATAACTGTTGGGACTTAGAGGGGAAGAAATAAATATATTTTTAAAGACAAAGAGAAATGGCTTTTGCAGTGGAACAGCTTCTCTGTAGAGATGCTGGCTGTAGACTCATTCTTGTGAGTATTTTCAGTTTTATTTTCAGATTATGTGTCTCTCTCTTTCTCTTTTCTAGATCCAAATCAATATAGCTGGGGAGAGAATTATGCTGGGAGTTCTGGTCTTATGAGCACATCACCTGATGTCTACCCCATGCAGAGGACCCGGAGTGGTACAGTATGTGGTTGCCTTTCCTAAAATGAGTGTTGGCACTTACTGATCTGAACTTAGATGGCTATTTTAAAATCTAGTTGCTTCTCACCCCTGGGACCGTGCTGCTTTACCAAAAGTGGCTGACATGGTGCCTTAAGTCACGTGTGATGGTTTGACATGATATTTCTTAAAAGACTGTGCCTGCTACTTTGTCTTGCTCAGCATCACTAAAGGAGAAAGACAGCCTGCTGCTGCTGCCCTTTCTTTGAGGTAGCTTGGCTTTGCTACAGTTGAAATACTGTACTTCAGAATTTTGAATCTGACAGATTCAATAGAATGTCTTGTTAATGGCTGCATATACTAACGTGCAGTTGTCTGCAATCCTGAGTTGTCTGAGAATGGGCTTCTGTAGGCCTTGTGCTTGTTTAATTTCTAGTGAATCAATTTCTGAGTAAGCTCTAATAAATCTTTTGTTTTTCACCTAGTTTGACATGTTTGAAATGGATAGGTTGGAGAGACCGCTGGTTAACCTGCCACTGCTGAAGGACCCATCAACCTATATTCCAGACACTGTTGACCTCACAGATGATGCCATGGCCAGAAAATACTGGCTCACTTGTTTTGAGGAGGCGTTGGATGGGGTAAATATTAGAGGAGTTGTACCTACAAGTGGTCCACATACTTCATGTGGACCAAGCTGTTCAACCAACAAAGTGCACCTGTATGTCAAACCTATTGCAAATAAGTACCTCTTCCCTGTCTCTTAATTGAAAATATGAATCAGAAACTTCACAAGTGTTGAGTTGGGGGCTGAGAAAAACACTAGGAGAACACATTGACCTGACCTTACTGTCATAGAGAAAGAATGAACACTGAGTGTTGATGTGCACCCGCACCCTTATCCTTTTTTCTTGTTTGTTTTTACCCTTCTCTAAATAGGTGGAACTTGTGGCTCACCTCTGAAAGCACAGTGTTCAAAAACCAAAAAGCAGCAATAACAAAAAAAACCCAAACCAACTTTAAATGTTTAGGAAGGAAAGAGGTGTTTAAAATTACTCTTTGGTGGTTGGCTTAATGGAAAGCTGGAGTGTACTGTGTGGGAGGGACAAGTGAGTGTGCAGGAGCAGAAAAAGAGAGCAGATGGAGGGGTTGCTGTTCATCCCAAGCTTCAGGTCAGTTGCACAGAAGGAAGAACTCAAGTGGTAACTCCAGTGCCTCATTTCTCTACCAGGTAGCAAAGCGTGCTGCAGCCAGCCAGCCAGATTCTGCTGATGCACCTGAGAGAGCCGAAAAGTTCCGACAGAAGTACTGGAACAAGCTCCAGACACTCAGACAGCAGCCTTTGTAAGTGTCCTTGTTTCCCTGCTTTTGTAATCTGGCCACCTCTGCTGAGCAGAGCAAATTAGAAGCCAACTATAAATTAACTGAAAGCTACATAAATGCTTTTGTTCTTAAGCAGAGCAAGCTTAAAGCTAAGTAGGCTGAAGGCAGTAACAAATTGATGTGTCAGGTCCTCTGAACAAAACATTAGAATTTAACAGAAAAATTCCATCTATCTCAGCACAAAAATGACTAAAGGTCTTCAAATTACTAAAAATGGTACCTGGCATCTTTACTCTGAACATTTTCCCTCTCTGTGTTTAAATAATCCGTTTAATAGATGTACCACTTAGTGGCAGTATTCAGCACTTGTGGCATGTGAAGACTTCTAACTGAGGTGTTTGTCTTACATGCTGTACCTGTCTGGAATTCATCCTATTAATGGAAAAACAGGAGAAAATTACTTTTTTTTTTTTTTTCTGTTTGAAGTAGTTGATCTGTTTTCCCCTCTCCTTTTTAAAGTGCATATGGCACCTTAACAGTTAGAAGTCTTTTGGATACAAGGGAACACTGTTTAAACGAGTTCAATTTTCCGGATCCTTATTCGAAGGTAAGCTGTTCTTGCTTTACAGGGCAGGCAGTGTGAGATCAAGACACTGTTCTGTACTAGAATGCTTTGTCTAAGTAATGGCTTACATACAAGACATTAACAGTTTAACTGGTTGGTTGTTGCTGTTTTCAGGACAGTTATTGATTGCTTTTTTTCTTTTTTTCCTTTTTTGTAATTCAGATAAGATAGTGCCAACAAAAGATCTTGATGTAAAGGTGGCACTCAGTACCTTTTTTTATAAAAAAGAACTAGCTATGTAACATTTGAGCTCATTGACGATAGAAGAGGGGTCAAGAGTCTTTAAGCATGTAGGATGATGAACTTTCTGATGCAAAAATTAGAACAACCCACACTTTCCCATCTTTTGCAGAACTGCTAGTGGTAAGCCTTCTCACCCAGGTTACCTGGTTTTGATGTTGCTACTTAAGTCTCTCTTTTTTGTGTCCATTCTCCCACTCCCCGTCTGCCCAAGATCTCCTGTATTAAGACAAGTAATTCTCAGACTACAGAACACATGCTAGCACTAATAAAGCTGTTTATTAGAATCCCAGGGAACTTTTTTCTTGTTGGTACTAAGCATGCTGATAACAGTAACTTGTTGGTCCATTAGAGGCCATGAACGTAGAGGAGAATGCTTGAACACGGTCTTGGGACTGAGACAGCCAATGATGGGTAAGGATTTTTTGTCCGTAAATGCGATGTTTCATGTCTTTCTTACAGGTAAAGCAGAAAGAAAATGGCATAGCCTTAAAATGTTTTCAAAGCGTAATCGAATCTTTGGATTCATTAGGCTGGGAGGAGAGGCAGTTTGCTCTGGTGAAAGGACTTCTTGCGGGGAATGTCTTTGACTGGGGAGCAAAAGCAGTCTCAGAGTAGGTGTTAAATATTTTAAAAGCACCCTTTTAAGATATAGAATATCCAACTGTTGTTTTTTTGTTTTTGTTGTAGAAATAAGTAAATGAAATGCACCAATCTCATTGTAGTTTGTATTTAACCTTAATCATATGTTGGTTGTTCATTTGCAAGCATTATTGCGGTGCAGCAAAGTTTGTTTCCACCCTTAAAATCTGGCAGACATCACTGAATGTTTGAATTAAATGACAGACCACCTAATATTGCAGTCTGGCTCTTTGTTTGTAGCTGTTACTAGCTCTGTTTTTGAGTATGTGTTCTATTTAAGCTGATATTATCTTCCTATAGTAGAAAATGTGCTCTCTCTGTAACCCACAGTTGCCCTGATATCAGAGTGTATATTCAATGGGCTGTAAGCCAGGTTGGTGGTCTCTTAAAATAACTAAATCCCAGTTGTTTTCGATCAGCATACATTTCTGCTGCCATTTTGAGAGCTCTCTTTCCATATATCCTGTCAGCAGCCATAAATTCAGAAAAGGATGTAAATGCTGTCAGTTTTGAAATATCTTTGTTTTTGTACTTCTAGATTTTACCTCTTTCTGTGGGGATGATAATACAGAGTAGGGGAGGTGGGCACTGTTTTGCAGCAAACGTTCAGCACTTCCTTTCCCTTTCTGCATCTTTGAGGAGTTTTCCCCTCATGAGTAAATAACAAAAAAATGCAAGTCAATTCAAAACAAGGTGATTTGAGGCTACTTGGATCTGCGTTCTAATGCTGCCCACAACTGCAGAAACTTGAACTGACCCCAGTCACAGCAATTAGTCTGGTTGCCACTTGTCTAAGTGTAGCTCTCCCTCTGTTCGAGGAAGAAGCTAAGAGTTAAACATCACTTGGTACTGGACTGAAGGCACTTTATGAGACTTGACTGGCAAGCACTGCCCACGTGGAGCAATATTTTAACTGGCAGCTTAGAATCTAGCCTCATTATGTACATCCTCATCACAGCTAAGTTTGAAGCTACTTTTCTATACATGCAGCCAATAGGAATGGCTTTTAAAACCTGTATTTAGTTAATTTCTTTTTTTCCTGCCTACACACAAATACAACTCAAAATGTTGTAGACAGATATCCAGATTTAACTTTGTAAAGTGTTGTTTTATGGCTATGATAGTTTAGATCATTACTGTATTTATTGTCATCTGCAGATCCAAAGGTTTGTTGTTTTTTTTTTTTTCCCCCATAGAGTAGTGCTTGCTGATCTCTAATTTAACTCCCTAATTTAATGTACATGCAAGCCTTTTGTTTTTAAGGGTGGATCTATTTTTCAGTCACTGGACCTGTCCATACTCCCAGTTATAATCCTGCAATAAAATTGCCAACAGCCTGCTATACAAGTATTCAAATTAAGTGAGCTGAAGTTACTTAACTGCGTACCCTTTATTTCTCTTCTGATACAGTGTTCTGGAATGTGAGCCACAATTTGGATTTGAAGAAGCCAAGTCAAAACTGCAAGGTATAGGGGGGAGATCTGTAGTGTTGGTTAGATCTGGATATTGTGTTAATAAGAGAGTAAAGAAGAGTGTAATGGTATTTAAGATGGCAGTTCTGCTTGTGACAGGGACTCAGTAGCACTCGCCAGTTTATCTGAAATACAATCTCAGTGGAATGTTGCTTTTTGTGTTCCAAACAAAGTGGAACCCAAAAACCTCTCTGCTGCCCCAATACTCAGCATATCCTGAATAGCCTGTGCTGTTTCCTGTAATGGTTCCAGTCCTGTCTTAGCAATGTCCCAAGGAACAGCAGCACCAGCCATCTCAGAACAAGCCATTATGAGAGCTAGCTCATATGACTCTATTGCTATCAGAAAAATTCTATTCCAAGGCTACTGTAGTTGAACTTCCAATAATTAAGAGTTCAGGAACTCCTTAACATTCAAAATCTGAGTTCAAATATTCCATATCTTTAAAGAGACACCTCCTGCTTTGCATAATGTACAGATTTACTCTTTGCCTAAAAGTGATGCTAATACAATTTTGTCTGTGACACAGAACGTCCCTGGTTAGAAGATTCCTACAGTCAGTGGCTAGAGCGGCTGAAGGTACGAGTCCAGAATTACCACTGATCACTGAGTAACTGAATACATTACTCATGGAACAACCCTATTAAGCTTGTTTCTAACATTTAACACAGCCCTGTTCAGACAGCTCAAAACAAATTCTGTTAGTGCAGCACTAATAGTTCCAGCAATCATACCATACAGAAATAAAACAGACATTTTGTCACTTACCAAGCTTCTTGGCTTACTTTCTTCAGGAACTGCAGCATTTGGAATCCAGCTGCTTTCAAAGCTCTTCCACATAACCGTAGTGTCCCTTCTTTATCAGGGCACTTATTTCTATTTAACTAGACCTGTAATTTTGAAAAATTGAATCCAAATGTAATGCTTGGATTGTTCCTTCATCTGAGTAGCCAGGCTAAAAATGACAGTAATGTGGAGCTTTCTGAAAGTAATCAGCAACGTGTTTTGTTGTGGTTTTTTTTTCCCTCTGGGGGATGTCTGCTGCTATTTCATCAGGTTTGGAAATGATGGACAGAATTTGCTACAAATCATTAGATATTACATCTTAAAACAGAAGTGTCAGTTATTACACAGAATCACAGAATCACCCGGGTTGGAAGGGACCTCAAGGATCATGTAGTTCCAACCCCCCTGCCTAGCAGGGCCACCAAACACACACATTCAGATCAGGTTGCCCAGGACCCCGTCCAACCTGGCCTTAAACACATCCAAGGACGGGGCATCCACAACCTCCCTGGGCAGCCCGTTCCAGGGCCTAACCACTCTCCTTGTATAGAACTTCCCCCTAACATCCAACCTAAATCTTCCCTCCTTCAACTTCGATCCATTTCCCCTAGTCCTGCTGTTGTCAGCCCTTTTGAAGAGTTTACTCCCCTCGTGGGTGTAGGTTCCCTTCAGGTATTGATAGGCTGCAATGAGGTCACCCCGCAGCCTTCTCTTCTCCAGGCTGAACAAGCCCAACTCCCTCAGCCTGTCCTCATAGGGGAGGTGCTCCAGCCCCCTGATCATCTTAGTCGCCCTCCTCTGGACCCTTTCCAAAATCTCAATGTCTTTCTTGTACTGAGGGCTCCACACCTGGAGTTATTCCTCCACAACACTGCTAAAAAGCAGCATCCTGACAAACTGATCTTAAAAATTACACGGTATTCACTGCAGAAGTTCTTCTGCTGGTACAACTTGGAGTGAACTGCATTTCATAACATCAGATTTAGGACAGATTAAAGGTTAATGGAGAATAGGAAATGTCTCTTTATTTTAGGATGTCACTGCCCCCAGCAGTCCATCCTCCCCTTTCCTGGAGAAGGGAATCCTGTTTACCCTACAGCATGCTAGCTTGTAACAGCCACAAAGGTAGGTTTACCCTAAAAACCACATAGGCAGCTATCCATGCTGCTGCTTGTATTCTAGAGAATGGTATTCTCCAGCTGCATGGCATAACAAAACGTGATTCAAAGCCTAACCACCCCTCTGAAGGAAGCTCATGTTCACAGTTGCTGGAGTCAGACGTGTTTAATTGGCTGTTATAGGTTTAATTAATGGAGTTTGAAAAAGTGCTGTCAAGTGGAGTGGCTATAAACAGTTTTAATTAATTGTGCAAAGACAGCGTTAGAGAAACTGATTTCACTTAAAATAAGGGTAGGTAAAGTTTTGATGAGCTATGCTCATCGAATAGATCTAGATAAATACAGGGCTATAAAATCTTGGGTCTTAAAACCGGTGTTTCTAAATAATACAAACTAGTCTGTGAAATTAACTGTGAACTCAATCCTAAATGCATTGGTTTTCTCTTGCAGGAGGGTCCCCCTCATAAATGTGCCTTAATTTTCGCAGATAACAGTGGAATAGACATAATTTTAGGCGTCTTTCCTTTTGTTAGAGAGCTTCTTTCTAGAGGAACAGAGGTAAGTGGTTTTTCATTGTACAGGCAATACATAATGGAGCTTTTGTAACTGGTGAAAGGTTTGTTAAATACCTTCTGGCAGTGCACTGTATGAGACCAGCTCATAGCACCTAAAGTGGGAGTGATCTAACTTGAGACAGTGAGCTTGTCCCTAAATTCCTGGAAGTCTGAGGTTTAACTAAGTATACTGCAAAGCAGAACAGGGGTTAGATCAGAGCTAAGCTTTCTAATGGAGGATCTGTAATGTCAGAACACCTGGAGGAGTTGGCTAGTTTGAGGAGAAAATAAGGACCAGGCCTTCAGGCTTTCTCTTTTCTTGATTCTGTTCTTACATAAGCCAGAGAAAGGCAGTCTTCAAACAGACAGGCAGCTCTAACACCGTATATGGACTGTGTTCATCAATAAACTGTTTTGACATCTTTGCCTTAGGTTATATTGGCTTGTAACTCTGGCCCTGCTCTAAATGATGTCACCTACAGCGAATCCCTGATCGTTGCTGAACGGATAGCAGCAATGGATCCAGTTATTCAGTAAGCATATAAACAGTCTTCATAACGTATCTTAAAAAGCACAGAAGGAAGAAGCAAGTTCCTGGTTACATATGGAGTTCCTTATTTGTGTTTATTACTATCTGAAATCTGCAACTAGAAGTAAGGTACAAATGATGATTTGCTTCAATTATGGCAAAAAATTTAGAAAGCAGTTCTTAATTATATTTAACAGTATACATATCAGCTTCTTGTCAGTATCATCCCTGATAAGGACTCAAACTACTAAAATAGTGTATTTTATTTGTTAAAAAAAATATTTGAGGGAAATATATGCTATTTCCAGCCTGTTTCCTGTAGAGGACAGGTAGCTGACTAGATAACCTGCTGCTCATGGAAGTGTGTTTCTGGGCGATTTCCTAGCAGGAAAAGAAGCCTTTGCAAGGAATACTCAGATATTCTTTCTGGCTCATTACCATATTTACATGACTGTAACTTTTTGTTTGTTCCTATTTTCAATTAAAGATCTGCGCTGAAGGAAGAGAAGCTGCTGTTGGTCCAGACGGGTTCAAGTTCTCCTTGTCTAGATCTGAGGTATAATGGCAAGTTTGTCATTTGTCAAATGAAGGATGACCTGAGCCTGTGTCTGTGTGCTGAAATACCTTAGCCACCCTTCACAAAAATGACTGAGTTGGTCTGCATTACAGACTTGTAATGCTGATGAAGCCTTACTAGTTGCTCTACAGCTTGTTTATCATTTTGCTGTTCAGCAATTACATGTCATCAATAATCCACGTGACTGTAAGAAGCACTTCATGTTACCTGTTTTTAACTGCCGTTCTCTCTTGGACATAGAACTTAACCTGTGTTTTCTCACAAATCCCAATCCTGCACACACTTAATGAAGCTTTTAAAACTATATTTTTATATATCCCATTTATTTTGATTAAGGTGTTACTGTTTATTGGCATCAGTAATTCCATACCCTGCCACGTTTCCTCGAAGTGACAGGACCCTCAGAACATCTGCATTTTCAGCTGTAGTGCAAGGATGACTATTTCTAACCATACCTCTCATTTCAGCCGCCTGGATAAAGGTCTGGCTGTGCTGGTCAGAGAACGGAAGACAGACTTGGTTATCATTGAAGGCATGGGTCGTGCCATCCACACCAATTACTACGCGGCTTTGAAGTGTGAGAGCCTCAAGCTTGCTGTTATCAAAAACTCCTGGCTTGCCGATCGCCTTGGAGGGAAAATATTCAGCGTCATTTTCAAGTATGAAGTGCCACGTAAATGATACAGATCTGGTCAGCTGGGTGAACAGGAGCAGCAGAATGGACTTGCACTAGTTTTACTTTAACTGTAAAGAATGTATTTTTATTACAACAGGGAAAAGAGGTCACAGGAAATTCCATATTTATATTGTGCTTTTGTGACTTAAAAAGCAACAATACGATTCACTCTATAATATACACACTCAAATATATATATGTATATCACTCATTGTTTATTTTGGTAAGTGTTTATTTTAATGATTCAGTATTTGTGATGAAAAGACTTTATTTTTTTGTTCTGTGAGACATTCATATAGAAATATATTTAAATGTCAATGAAACCTTTTTTTATACATCTCTGCCTACTCTGCCAGCAGTGACATGGCACATACCAAATAGTTTTTAAAGTGCTAAGTCAACCTGACATTGTATTTTTCCATGTCAGCTTTTAAACTTACCTAAACAGTCTCATGCTCTTTGCAGTTAATTTGGTCGAGGGACTGATCCACCTCCTAATCTAACGAACTTTATGTCAGCTGCATTTAAAACAGAACTGTCACAATGTGAGAGCACACAGTAGATAACTGAACAGCACTACCAACAGTTAAAGAACTCTTAACTCCTACTGCTTCCACTGTTATTAACAAGCTGAGGGGGGAGAGGCAGGCTGCATCCCTACTAAATTACTTAGCAGTAATCAGAAGTTTAAGTCTGCATTGCATTCAGAGTGAATGTGAACGCTTTATTCAGGAACAACCAGCTCTATCCCTGTCACAGACATGTTAATTTCTGTTTCCTTCAGTTATTTAATGCTGGAACAGAGAGGAATTAGTCTCTCTGTTCACACAGTGCAGTTAAAACCACTTCTAAGGAACTGAATTTGTGCCCTGCTCCATCAGCTGCGCAGTACGTAAACGCAGTTATTTAACCCTGAATTTGCAAAACTGCCTGTGCGTGCATCAGCCATTCCACCTCTGAAATGAAAAACAACTTAATTAGAAAACTATTTAATATGCAACCAAAGTAACCGTTCCCCATAACTTCAAAGATTCTTCTCTGACAGCAAGAAAATAACAAAAAATGCCCATTACTCACCCTTGCCTACTGAATTTGTACTTTAATTGATTTTGTTTGCCAGTGTTCATGTTCTACTGCTCTTGGACTTGAAGTATGAATCTTATTCCTAAATAGTTCCTAGTGAAGTTAACTAGACAAACTGTCCTCTGTAGCTAAACAAGGAAACATACCTTCTGCTGGAAAACAGACTTTTCTCAAATCTAGTTCCTTAACTGTAAGGCTTCCCTTTCTCAGATTTTAGGCCTTTGTGGAGAATACAGTTAAATCCTGCATTATTGGGATGGATGCATCAGTAATGTCCTTTCTGATTCAGAAATGACTTTCACAGTGATCGCTATCATTTGCCTAGAAGGAGGCAAAAATACATTCTATTTAAAATTAAAATCTTAAGCAGTTATTCTTGATTAGAAGAGTCAGATAAAAGCTTTAATTTTCAAGATTGCACCTCATTCTATAATTAGTATGCAGAGGCTTCATATTAACCTATCCCAAGTCACTTACTCCTGCAGGCATTTCTGCACTTACATGGTAAACTTCTAAATTAAATATAGATGTGATCACCCATCTTAACCTCCCTTAATTTTAGCAGTTGCACTCTCCCTCTTATCAATTTAAATTCTTCCAAGCTGCTTGGTTTTCTATAACCAGCTCCACCATCAATCCAGAAGTACTGTGTTTGTAATTAGGAAACTAACACTCTACTCTTGCAGAAAAATATCTTCCTACAGTGATGTAGCTCCTATGACATATAGATGGTAGAACCACAATATATGCCCATTCCTTAAGAATTTTTGTTAAGCATTAGCCCTCCCTGAAGTCTCCTGGGTTTGTCTTGTATTTTCTTTTATACGTAGACGAGTGCACATTTCTTCTGTGAAAATGGAGCAACAAGATTTCTGGAAAAGAAGAGGGGGAAGAAAAAAAAGGGGATAAGTTTCTCTGTATTGTAGAATCCAGCTTTTAAATGTTCACTAGACTTTCATTGCAGTGGATGGGAGAACAAGAACACCAAAATACACATTCAAATTCTAGTGCAGTTTTATTTACATGTTTTCCTGCTTGTCAAATGACTTGAGAATAGCCATACTTGAGAATAAACTTGTTATTGATGATTTACTGTCCTCTGTACACACGGGAGTATTGGAATGCAGTCTGTCTGCATTACAGTAAATGCTGCTATTTAATATTTTAAGGTTTTTAAACTTTTTATATTGCTTAGGCTACATAACTGTCACATAGCCCAAGCAACAACATAGCAAGGATTTTAAAGAGTAAATACATAGCATGTATTTTCCCCATTACATTTCTCTCCTCAGACAAACAAGATTGCCATGGTCAGAAAGCCAGCATTCCGCCCAGTGGAGCACTAATGCCCACACTGAACAGAAGGGAGCCCAAGAGGAAGACAGAGATGATGACAGTCACCCACCTTGACATGTCCAGCAGCATGTCTGCTCTTATTTGACAGCTCCACCATAGCTGCAATCACTCCTAATGCAAGGCCAATTGCAAGAGTAAGAAAGAGCCCACCCAGAGCCTGGGGCTGCAGGGGGCTCCATCTGTCTCTGCTTTGGTGAAGGCAGCTGGACTCCCACCATTTGTTACGCAAATAGTCAAGATCACCCGATTCGCGCAGTTTGAGGACAGCAACTGACAGCTTCTTAGTCCACGGGGATGCTGGCAGCAGAATGAAAGAGAAAAGCATGTAAGAGAGGTCACAGCCACTAACATTTTTAATCAGCCTGCTACTACATGACAAAGCAGGGTTAGCTGGGTGCTGCTTCCCAGCTTTCAAACGGTCTTTCTGCACAGTGCAGCAAAATAATCTGAGTGCTTTCTTGGATAACTAGATAACAACCATTCCTATCCTATCCACTAACAGAATAATGACAGTTTGAAGTCTTTGAAAAATACTATCAGTCATGCTTACAAGAGAACAAATTTGATTAAAAGTTCTGCATTCTTGGTACCACAGAGCAGGAGGAAAAAAACAGGAAAAAACAAACAAACCTGGTATCATTAGCAGTGGGAATTTTTAAAAGCTGCTGTTCAAAATAAGAGCGAGCACTAGTGATAATTCATTTACTGAATGAAAATATTGGATAACTGGGTTTATTTGTTCATAGTGGATTATTAGTACATAGAACACTTAATACATAGAAAAAAGCCTCTGAGTTTCAGGATTTAGCTATTCCAGGCTCTTTGCTCTAACAAACTATTTCAAGCCCACAAAATCCAAGTGGAGAAGTGGGACAGAAGTCATACACAGTGACTAACCCTGGGCAGTGGCAATGCCAAATCCTCTGGCTCCAATAACTTCAGGGGCTCTGATCAAATTGCAGTGCCTGGCGGCTGCAAGGTCTTGAGAGATGGATTCACCAATGAAGGCATAATTGGATTCCATCACACGTTGAACTGCTTCCTGGTAGGTTTTGACTAAAACATGGTCTCGTCTCTTGTCCATATATTCATAGATCATCTGATGGATGGGATTCTTGGAGTTCTGCAATAAAGTGACGTGTGAAACAATTATCCAGAAAAATATTTGCCTATGTGCAGTGACTGTGAAAATATTTAGAGAATAAGAGTGCTTAAAACTATTTACCTTTCAGCCCTCTAGTTAAAATTACCATCTTTCTAGCACTTTATGTTCAAGGTACACAAGAATAACCCCTGAAGACTAGTACCACTGTCTTAAGAGAGGATACACTATTAACACAAAATCTTCTGCATGCTTCTCTCTCAGAGAAAAGGTGAAAGAAGAGATAAGAAAACAACATATACCAATCACATTAAAGTACAAGAGAACTGACCCAGTCTACAGAGAAGAAGGTGCTGTAAGACCCAATGTGCAGACAGCTTGACTGCACTTTAGCACTTCTAAGGCAGGCATGTACGTGCACAATTAAATTTTCTGCACCTTAAAGAAGTAGAAAGTGGAGGAGCCATCCAGTGTCCCAAACTCGAGCTTCCTTTGCTTCACAAGATCTTCGAAAGTCTGGATCGGGAGCTGCTCGCTGCCAGAGCTCAACAGCGCGGTGAAGTTGGCGATGTAAGCAGCCAGCAAAGCTATGGTGAAGAGCCACCAGATGGCAGCGATGACACGCACAGAGAACGCCTTGGGCCGAGGGGTGACACCTGCGAGCCCAATGGAGCCGACAGAAAGTACGGGTGGTGAGAGAGACAGCCTGAGACAAAGCCAGCACAAGACTTTTTAAACATGCCAACCTTCGAAAGCTGCTTTGCAGCTGATTTAGGAACACACGGGCCTAAAAAGCCCTCAGTGGCTGGTTTGAATAGCATCAGTGCTGCATGCTATGCAGAGCCAAAGCAATATACTGGCAAAAAAAAAAAAAAAGACTCCACTGTACAAAACATAAGTGCACTGGTTAGTCCTGGAGCAAGAGTTACAGCAGAAAACATGCAGTGCTCACATGAAGCCAGCCACCTGCACAAGTCCCTACTCAAGACATCTCTGTTTTAGCACTGCCAAGAGTCCCTATTTATCATCCTTTTCCTCAGCACCCAACCATACAGTACAGCACTCTGTATGCACTGGACATACACAGTACATATGCACATATTTACTGGATATGCAATCAGCTCCTCCCAGCTCACCTTGCAACGTGAGCGCTCCTGCTCCAAACCAGAGGCTGTTTAAAAAGGTGAAGTGATTCTCTTCATTCTTTGGCTCATTCCATTCATAAGGGCTCAGCCTATGAGGAAATAACAGGATGACACCAGACACTAAAGGAAAAAGCAATCCTGCAGCATGATGTGCAGCAGTGCAGACAGCCTGGAAATGCCCTATCTTTCCATCAGAGGTCCTCCTTTACTTGTAGCCCAGTTTATCTAGTAGACAAAAATGCTCCTGGTCAATACCTCAAGTATTTGCAACACTGAAGGCTCAGGACTGGGCATAAAACAGGAAAAGCAGTAATAGAACTTTTGTTCAAAATTGCAAATGCAGAGAGCATTAGTGCAGCCTCATGAAGAGAGGAGGAGAAAATTGAATGTCCTGGGAAAGGAGGGAGGGGAAAGAAATTCATCCACAAAATTCAGTGTAGGATTGAGTGCATGAAAACACTCTGGGAGAAAGGACTGTGCCAAGGAATATGGTCAGAGGGAAAAACAACTTTGAAAAAAAGTGAGAACAAAAAAGCTGAAACACAAACACACAGTCCTTCTGACAAGAGTGGAAAATCCACATCAGGAGATACGGTGATTTTCATTGGGAGTTCCTACTCTTAATCTGCCATTAAGCTTTATTAGCTCAGCTTCTGGATTTGTACAGAAAGTTTCTCAAAGCAAAATGTACCCTGGTACTTTCTTAAAAATAAAAATCTCTCCATAGCTGGGAAAGCAGTTGACTCGAGCAAAAACTGTAAAACACATCTGTACCTGGCAACAAGGAAGAGGCAGACACACGTCAGCACATAAGCAAATAGGAGGCCAGTCCAGGTCTCCTTACTGAAAGGAGCCAGGAAGTGGAAGAAAGACATCTCGTGAGAGATGGTGTCCTTTCGAAGCAAGATCCCAATCCCAGTCTGCAGGAATGGCGTAGTGAAGGAGATGACCTCTTCCCTTGCTGATGTGACTGTCAAGGGTGCCACTGCTATGTCTGCCTCCTGTAAGAAGTAGTTAAAATATAACCAATCATCCAACCTGCCTGAAGTCTTGTATCACTAAAACAGAATGCTTCCCAGGCTGAGTGGACAGATACCTACGTGGCCAATAGCCATGTAGGCACAGCTCCTGGGCTCCTTTCCTTGTTAATGCTGCAGTTTCTCAAATATAAAATGAAAGTTACCTGTCTTAGAATTTCTCCAATCATTCCTGTCCAGTTCCCATTGGAAGAGATGGCTCCATACTTCCCATCTCCCACCACCTTCACCTTATAGCTGAAGTGAAGCATTGAAGCGAGTGCTTTCAGCAAATCAATGCAGTATCCCTCCAGTTCTGCACTTCTCACCATGACATAAGGATCTTCCTGCATGAACAGGGAAATACAATTACATACCACCACAGTCTGCAGTGTAACTGGCTGTGAATTAACCCCAGCTATCTCCCAGCTACAGGGCTTTGTTACTGCCTTACCAAGATCGTTGTGACAGTCAAAGCTGGAAGGTTCTCTTCTGGTCCCCTCAAGTCATTGGCCTACAAATAAAAAAATAAAGGACAAATAATTGAATTTCCCTGCTTACCGAGGGTTTATGTTACAGTGTGTGCGTGTTCCATGACAGTAATTAATCAATCAAAAGCATTTCACTTTATGGCATGTTGTCAACATACAAATAAAAAAGAAAATCACATTAAATGCTGTCACAATTCTTCAGGTACAAAGTGCATATAGTCTTCCAAAGAGAGATCAATTTGTGCTGCTGACAAAACAGCTAGCAGCCAATTAAGGCCTCATTAGAGAGCAATTCCTGGAGACAAAACAGCAGGAAACCTGAGATGAAGCAAAAACATGAATTCACTTTCACATGGAACACCAAATTCAAGAATGCATCTTCTAACCTTACAGTCTGACGATGCTTTCTGGTCACCAATACTTCAGAACAGCTCATGGTTTTGCTACTAAAGCTGTCTTCACAGATTAAACACATTGCAGGCTGTGAACTCATCTATTTCTGGATTTAATATCCAAGAACTTTTGTACACATGACTTTATTGGTAACCCTGCATCAATGAACTTCAACATACCTTAATCATAGCATCATCATTCCTCATTGCTCCTGAAAAAATAACAACAAAATCAACTCCTTGCAGGGTTTATGCTTACAGTTCCTTAAAAGTGAACTTTCATAAACTCATTTCACTTACATAAACAGAATGATCATCCTTGGACTCAGAAGTTCACAGTACAGCTGACTTGTAGTAACTTTGTAAGATTGCTTCCTTATTCACAACACAGTATTAATGCCAAGCAAACAGAGGCAGAAACATACACAGACAGATTCAGGCTGCAGAAGTTTCTAATTCTGCCTTTATTATTATTATCACTCACACATTGAAAAACAGATTTTGCAGAATCGCCCTTCCTGATGAGTTGAAAAGCCAGCAGTCCTGCTGCTTCACACGACTCAGATTTCCACCCCCCCTCCCAGCTCCTGCCAAAGCCCGTCTGCACCCCTAAGGTGCCTGTAAACCCTAAAGCCCTGCAAACAACCTGAAGTTCATCAGCACTGAATTCCAAGACAAAAGAGTTTCTTGATAGGTTATTTGTTAATTGTTAAAAGCAGACAAAGGAGACCATCTCGCAACCATTGGGGCAGAAATCCTTCTCTTCCTCATTCAGTTGCTTTCTCCCCGAGAATTACAGCTGCTCTGACTTTCCATTCCTGTGAAAATTCACTGCAGAACACCTGAGTGTCACCAGATCTGCTACTGATCTGCTGTTCCGTATTACCTCTCCTCCTTCTGTTTCCTCTTCAGTAAAAATCCACTCGTAAAAGTATTATTAATGAGATTAATTAAGCTTTTGGCTCTACTCTTTGCTCCAATGTGCAGCTCTTAACAAAATCTGTTGAATTATTTGATCCACAGCTTCCTTTATCATAACACCCAGAATACCTCAACTCCCCAAATCTGCAAGAGATATAAACTGTAATAACTGAGATGCAGAATGAAAAACACAATTGTGTGGATGTATAGCATATTAACTACCCAGGATGGTTTCTTTTTTTTTCCTAGAGTGTGCAACATTATTGCTCCCTGGAATCAAAGAATTCACAGTGCAAAAGCCAAAACTAAATAATAATTAAAAATAAAAATTAAAAAAAAAAAGTTAAAACAAAGAAATTAGAGTGCTTTTACTCTTCCAAGCAAAACTGTGAGTTTCTCATTAAATATAACAACGTATTCATTCATTATGTATTATTCATTCTTTGGATTTGCATTTTCTTGTGCTGAACTCCACATTATTGTTAAAACAAAACCTGCTTTTTCCCTGTCCTCCACAGTTCTCCATGGGAGCTGGAAATCTTCACAAAGGAGTTCTCTTGTCTCTCTTCAGAAACTCATTAGAGCCAGTGAAAGCTGTTTGAGGCTCCTTTTTTGAAGACCTGCTAGGGTTTTTTGGAAGAAAACAGTCTGTACCGAGGGCTTCAGCTCCCCCACAGTGGCACTGGATGCAGCTGTTCAAAGCCCCATTGTAGGAACTGCTGAAAGGACCATAAGAAATCGAGTTGCAGCCCTAACTCTAAGTTCATCAGAGTGACACTTCTCAGAGGCCAAGCCCTCGGTGTGAGAATTTACAACAGCACACCACAAAGGGTCTCATCCCTCCACTCTTGCCCCCAAAGGTTTGCTGCTGCAGGAAACCACCGTAGTTGCAAAAATCAGCAACCACAGCAAAAACAAAAAGCATTCAGCACAGATAAACCAAGGACTGGCCTCCTCACCCCCACTTTTCTACTCTGTCCCCCCTCTGCCTAGGTTAGTAACCCTGCCTTGGTACCCTCTGTCCACATTTCCCTTTATGCAGCTTGTGACCATGCAGGATAGCTGAACCAAGAGCTCAGATGGATGATGGTTCTGGAGTACACTGGGACACTCAGGATAAGAGTATCAGAGAAACTGACCACTGTCACCAAAGCTAAAGACTGATGTATACATAACCTGAAGCAACCTGCTGCTACCACCAGCTCTGGTCAGGTAGGGGACAGGCAGGTGAGAGGGGCGGGAGAACCAGTAGAGGAGCCAATTTTTGTTTCCCAGTAATGCTGCAAGGCCAAGCTACTCCTTATGTCTCCCACTGAGACACAGAACACCAAAAAGCCGCAGTAAGATTAAAACAGCAGGATTTGTTTCAGCTGCAAAAGCAAGTGCCCCAGCTCCTAGCTCTGGGGATGCAGCGCGATCCAACCAGCTGACTGCTGTGCATAAGTCACTGGCAGGCTCCTGCTGGCCCTAAGGTAGGTCCTGGCAATGTCTTCATAACCAAATCTCAAGCAAGTTTTAAAGACGGTGTCCTAATCTAGCACTACTATTCACAAGAATTAAAGAAATGCGAAGAAAGAAAAACAGATTTGAATGCAGCTAGCATTGCTGGCCAAATATTCTCACCTGTCTGGCTTGATTCTCTCAGGAGCAGCACCGCTGTAACCACAGTGAACATAAAGTGAAGTCCTTTGTCCATTGCAGCAGAAATACTGTTTAGAGAAAACTTCCTGTTGAAGTTAAAGGAAAATCATTAATACTGGTTTTATGATTCCTCAGTGCTGAGTTAGATCAGTACATCTTGGATTTTCTGCATCTCAATTCTGAAGAGTTCCAATTCAAACAAGGTCACATCTGAGACCAAATAGAACAAACATTAAAGAACAGGTCCCAGGGAACACTTTAGTGCAGAAAAATGATGTGATGAACACCTGAAGTGGATGCATCCACTGCCTGTTGCACTGTATCTTTCCCAGCCAGCTCCCTACAGAGGAGAGGCAATGTCTCCTCAGGTGCAGGATCAGTGCGCGGGCATCGATAAACAGGAGATTTTTCAGGAGGTCCTTATTTCAGAGACATAAAAGCAGAATGTTAAATTTCCCTTTTTTGGGTTGCAGAGGAAAAAAGAAGCAGGCATGATGCACTTGAGCCAGCAAGGAACAGCTGTTCTGTTTTGTTTTCTGGTAAATTTAACCAGTAAATTATTGCTACTTTTTCATTATGATTGAGTATGTAACTATGAAATGATATTTACAAACATTAAAAAAAAAAAAAAAAAAAAAAAAAAACTATTCTGAGCTGGTAAAAAAAATAAAAAATTTTTTATCACACTGGCTGTCTAAAAAAAAAAAGCGTACATTTGTGCAAAATGAGCATTTTTGCAATGGCAAATGTACTTCCTTAACTCTGTGTTGGTACCAAGATAATTTAAGGATAAATGGAATCACCTACAGGGAGAATAATGGGAGGACAGATGGCTTCAGTGCCTTCCAACGTGTAAGGATCTGCTCAGCTGCTGCTTAAATGAACCACTGCAACACCCCTTCACCACCTACTGAACAAAGTACCACAACATTTTCTCAAGTTTTACAGCAAAACAAAGTAAGGATTTATGATGTTACTTCGCTAGAATTGGCTCTAGAAATTTCTGAGTCTTTCAGAATATGAAGAAAAAAGGACATTACCCCTCAGCCACTCTTCTGCACACAGTGCTGAAGGGAGGCATTAGAATTAAACCGAGCAGTAGAAAAGATGAACAGCCATCAGCAAAAAAGGTGACAGCCTGTTGCACACGAGCTCCAGTCTTTGCGAGCTACAAGCACAGCAGTGATTGAAGGCAGCATCTCACTTACAGCAGTTCCTTCAGCCTCTCCTAGCTTGGTCTGTCTGAATGGGTCCCAGCAGCAGCGCGTCGATGGGCAGGCAAATGAAGTGCTGGAGCAGAACGCTGGCTGCATCCACGCCGTTATAAGGAGAGCGGGAGGAGCCAGGCGCGGGGCTGCTGCGGAAGGACGTGCCAGCAGGCAGCGCAGGCTGCGGAGCACCTTGCATTGGGACAGAGGAAGGGAGCACCCAGCAAAAGAAGTTTGGAAGCAGGTTATTCCGGCGGCTCGACACTGCACTGAGACTCGGAAAGTACAAATACCTCTGCCTGGCCTGCAGTGCGGTCCTGTAAAAGCTTTCCTTCTGCAGAACCTTGCCCTGTTCAGTTGTGCCCACCTCCCCTGTCTACTCCTGCTGCTAGCTGAAGGCTTTCTCTGTGCTGTGATTCTCAGATCAGGTACAACATCAGAACCCTTGCAAACAAGTTACATACAGTAGTATTCCCTCATATCCCAGAATGCTGAAGAAAGGTCTGAGCTTCAAGGTAAACCACAAACTCTGTGTACACAGACATGAAATTCCTGACCCCTTCATCCTTCCACTTACAATCTCCACTTCAGAAGTGAGCTACATACAACCCTGCCAATCGTCTGACTCTATTGGGCCAGGTCATTTATAAATGCAGCATCAAGGCTCTGAAATTACAAAGGATTGCTTTCACAGGAATTCAGCAGAGTAAATCATTGCAGCACATCCTGCAGGGGAGTTGGAACATGCCCACACTTGAGTAAGAAAAGAATTATTTCACACTTACTTGACTTTAAGCTCTGTCCATCATGGAAACGTCTCGGGCAGCTTGCACCTTCCTCCCTACGCCCTTTCTGTACATGCCACTGAGTTCATCAATCATTAAATGTCAACTGGTCTTCAACAGTCAGAATTTGCTTACATTTCAATTTTTGAAATGCTTATAATAACATACTTGGTGATGCCAAAGTGGAAGGGTGGCACTCACAGTGCACTGCAGTGCAGGGGAGCTCCAAGATTACCTTTACTGCACGTCAGACCAAATGGTGCACATCATTCTTACAACATGAATTATGGCAAGGTGCTACACTATCAAAGATAAGCACATTCTTTCTATAGGACAAAACCAAAAAGATACCAGCAGATCAGCTCGGATTTCTCTCAGATGCTCTGAACTGTTTACAGCTCCACTTCAGGTACTAGCTTTGGTAATTAGCACATGATTTATTTTTCACTTTATGTGATAGCCACACTCTGGAGACTCAGGCAGAGCCTTGCACTTAGAGGTTAACAAAAATCAGACGATTTAAGGTTCTCAGCTGCTTCTCATGAATACTCTTCTAGGCTTTAGCAAGATGCACATTATGGTATGTGATTTTTCACAGCTGGCAGCTAATGATGGCTAAGCCACTAATAAGCTCAGCTACAAGCAGCTGTAAACATCTCAGCACTGTCAAAATGAGTTTTTACAGATACAATCAAATGTTCATCATCAGTGATCTTCAACACCAAGCTGGAGGAATACAGACCATAAACACCAAGGACAACCATGCACTGTCTGGACTCCTAAACTGACACTTTAATGAACTGAAAAACATTTGGGACAAGTCCGTGACCTCACAGGGAGAATTCAGGATGATGGAAGATGGCTGCTGTTACTCTACATGCCAGCAGGAACAGATACAAAATGGGCCTTCCCTAGACAGAGCTATGATCATTACTGTTGCCTACAAAGCAAGATTATGAGGACCAAACACATCGGCATTAAAAACCCATTAAAAAGAGCTGTGTGCTTGTTATGCACACTTCACTGAATTCTTACCTGCAGCTTTGGATGAGATAGAGCCAAGCAAATGTTTTCACACATCAGTTGAAGCTCCCTATATATGCTGCCTTTCTCTCTGAATTCTCTTTCGCCAGCTTGATTTTGAGATCTCCACTACTGCTCCAGTTCACGTAGGAAAAAAAAAAACAAACAGAATCTAAGTTTTGCTTAATGCTCTCGAGTTTGTTGTTGTTGTGGGGGGGGGGGAGGGTAGGGAGCAAGACAAGAAAAGCCCTCTCCCAAACCTAAAAGATACTTAAAAACCTAACTGTGATACCAAGAGTCAGCACCAATCTTTTCCCTCTGTTAATCAAACACTAAAAATTGGAAATAGAATACATTGATTGGCTAGATTATTACTTGTAATTATTCTTCAGAGCAAAATTACTCTGAAGCAGAAAGGATGAAGAACAAAAGTAAATTCCTGCTGCTCAGCAGTGTAGGTACCACAAAATAAATTCCATTCATATGAATACACAACACATCATTAATAGTCCTGTGCAGTGCAACAGAACAAGTTGGCAAGGCGGTTACCACTGATCTGCAAACAGGAGGACAAAATTCACATGTACCCTAGTAAGTTAAAGCCAATTGCTGCTTTTTAAAAGTGTGAAAAAGAGAGAGATTTTGAAGTGTTGCAAGGTGCATTAATTTAACAAGTATTGCTTAATCAATAAAAGATAAAAAAGCATTGTGGATTTGTCTTTGAAAAGAAAGAGCCCTTTCACACATTAACCTTCTGAAGCTGTCAATTTGCATCTACTTTCTTGCTTTAAAGATAAAAAAATCAGCAACTCCCTGCAGCTCTTTGGCCCATAACTGAAGCATTACAGGCTTTCTTGTCTAAAGAATGTTAATGAAATTCACTTTGTTTTATGATACAGAGCAGGACTGATCTTGGCAGATCATACATTCTGCTGATGATTTACCTTTTTTTTTTTTTTTTTTTTCCTTCAGAGACTGCAAAGATATTGTAGATTTACTTCAGTGCACATTCCAAACCTTTGTTGCACAAACCTCAAGGGCCTCTCATCCAAATTACGAAGACAAGTAATGAAGATCAGAGCTAGGATGGAAAACTGCAGGAGCGTGTTGAGACACAGCATCATTTAAAAATATTTCATCAGAGAATTTTACTCCTCCCAGCCCCCACTTCCTTGTTATGCTGAAATCATCACCCATAGTTAGCTGTACCTTTTGATATCTCAGAGTTGAAATGTTTGTGACCAAATGCCAAGAACTCCCTTCTAGCCTCACATCCATAAGTGAACTGAGGAGCCTTCCAGGTAAGGGAATGAACAAAGTAATGCACATTTTCACTGTGCACTTTGCTGGGACAGGAAGAGATTTTTTGCATAAGTATTTTCAGTCAGATTTTAAACAACCTCAGTGATGAAATAGGTCTATCTACCTTACGTGAGAAAATCAGTTTCTCTTTGTGTTGTTCTCTATGACATTCACTTCCTTGGCTGTCTCAGAATAGATCAGGTCCTTTGACAGCACGTGTTGGGCTACAAATTCCGTGACTCCCCCAAGAATTTTCATCCAAACAGTCCCTGCTGGCTGCCAACACTAGTTCCAAATCATCCACATGCTGTGTATCACACGTCAGAATGCCAGTGTCTACCAATATTGCACATGTTTTGTTGCACCAGAGAAAATTTGAGCAGGATCTGAACTGGATGTGGTTCTGAAAAAAGAGTAAAATGAAATGTTATAACGGCATTAAAAAAGTGTTATGTTACAGCTAAACAGTCAACAGCTGGAAGATTAAATATGTTTATTTTAGTAGAACAAGGTGGTCTTACAAACAAATTTTTAGATTTTGCAATATACACAGAAGAATCATTACAAACAAAAGCAAAATATTTTCTCAATAATAGGGGCCCTATGCAGCTTGAAAATAAAATTAAACCTCTTTCTCTTTAAAATGCATCTCAGTAAACAATCTTCTCCATCACTGATAAAATACATCTATAATAAATGACTTTGGAGGGGGAGATGGGATGGAGGAAAAAAAAACATTAAAAAAATGGGGAGGAGAAATGGTTATTCTGTTTAGCTTGCTATATAACTCTAAATATGTCCATCTAAAAAAATTAAATATATATATTTTAAAACATATCATTGAAAATTTTGCATGGCAGTGCAATACAGAAGTAGTAAAATTCATCCAAAAAAGTGCTATGTACAGCAGCATTGTTAAAATACCATAAAGAAGGGATGGTTCTGTTTTCAAGAAAAGATCAGTGTGCTTTTTAGTCATTTCTGAATCAGTATCAGAAGATGTTTCCTGCCTTTTTTGACTAATTCTCCCTTCTCATCTCATTCCCACAGATGATGTTTTGAGACAAGAAACAGTCACAGTTCAGTCTAAGTGTGTGCATGTGTACACATACAAGCAGACACATACCTGCATACACACAGAGGCATACATATATACTTTTATATATATATATAAAAACAAGTTTGGTCTAAAAAAAAAAAAAAGCATTCCTTTGGAACATGGCAACAGATTTTCTTTCTTCAAAGAGTGCGACAATATGGATTTTCATTGAAATAAGACTTTATCTACTATATTATTAATTAAGGAAAGAATTCCACTGCAATTTTGACTGTTTCCCAGATGCCTCCAGCTCTTCATGAGAACACCAAAACAAGCTACGTGATTTCAAATCCAGCCTCCTTTCACAGATACATAATTCGTAAGAGTAACATCAGCTGTTGCTAACATCACTGATGTTTAACTGCTAGACAAAGCAATTAATGAAAGTAATAAGGAGCAAAAGTTTTGCACAGAGCAAGTTGCAAATGCAAAGAAGTGGTCACACCGCAAAGGAGGCCAGATTTGAGGCTGGAAAAAACGTAACAAAAAAAGGAGGTCAGGTCATTAAGACTGTAAAAATATGTCTCTGATTTCACTTGGTTGATCGAATTCCACAGACGGGTGACAAGTCGAACACTCATCTATTCTTTTGGAGTCAGGATCTTAAGTGTCTTTGCCATCTAGGGAAGGCCAGGAAGCACTAAGCCATACAAGGATATTTTGTGCCTCTCAGGTCACTATGTTTTGTCTTGAATGTAAACATCACCTTACTCAGTGCCCTCTAGAATTACAGTTTCAGCATAAAGAAGACTTCTGTGTCAGTATTATAGTCAGTTTGGTTCTTAGGCTGGGATGTAAACACAGCAGGAGAAGCTATATCCATACAGACTGCTTTTGAAACGCTGCAGGCTCCCTCTGGATTTCCTCTCTCTTCAATGGGACTCCCACTGAGCTGGCCCAGGCTTTGCAGTCGCTGTCTCTCCTGAGCCTGCTTGGCCCTGTTGGCAATGTACCGCACCCTGCTCTGACTGCGAGATGATGACCTGCGAAGGAGTCCTAAGCTCTCCGCTTCCTCTTCAGATTCGGTTGGATCAAGACTGATGGGGGAAGTGATATCATTTTCCTGCTGAAAGGCTGTTAGCTTCTTCAGCTGCTCAGTCAATTCATCCTGGGGTCTGACAGAGGTTCTCAGGCCTGCAGAGCGGCGCTGCTCACGCATTGATCGAGTGACAAAACTCCTGCTGATGCTACGATATTTGCTTTCAAAAGTGCACACAATGTCATCAGAGGTAAGGTCTCCAAGACTCTTGGATTTCACCTGGTTATTCCCAACCTTATCCTGTGCTTTGGATTTGTTAGAAGATTGCCTGAGACTTTCTATGTACAGCCTGCTCCAGGTATGCCTCCTAGGAATGGATGAGAATGCATCCTGAGGACTCCTTGCGAGAGGACGGGGGCATAATTCATCCGCTGGCAGCTGGTCAGACCTCAGGTTAGGATTGGATTTACTCTTGCTCACTATTGGCATTTCATTACCTGACGTTGTAGCAGACCGTGGGCGAATACCCCTTCTCATGGTAAGGGGCTCAAAGTTCTCATGCCGGATGCCAAGATCTGGAAGGCTTTTGCGAGCTAGATTAGGTAGAGAGAGATCTATCACAGTGTCATTGGAGGACATGCTGGAAGAGGAAGACATGCTGTCACGATGATTGCTGCAATCTAGCTTGCTCCAGATCCGGTCATTAACAGTAGCATCAAAGTATACTTCTGCTGCTGGAGATAGGCTACTTGGATTTTTTATTAAAGCTGAGGAGTCTGACTTTTTCAGCCCTTCACTCTTTGACTTCCTTATTAACATGTAAGAGCTCGTCTGAGAAACAGGTAGAGCCTGTGAAGCCTGGGATTTCTGGAAAATATCTGGAGACAAAGTTGGATGTGAGCCATTAATCACATTGTTTTGCTGCAGGACAGCTGCTGCACCAGGCTTTTGGCTTTTCAATACAGCAGCGGTTTCCAAGTCTTTCAATACCTGCCCTGTTTGGTCTTTCTGCTTCTGGCAGTTTTCAACAGGCTGGCCAGCACTCTGAGCTTCTGCCACCCCCAGCCAGGCTTTCTGAGGATGCGCTGCCAAATTAACTTGATCTTCAGCTTCACTGCATGCCTGTGTCCAACCATTTTCTTCTTTGAGAAGTCCTGCCACGCTTGTCCTCTCATTGTCTTGGACTAATGCATTGATGTCAGCTGCTTTTGTGGCTGTCTGCATCTGGTCTTCTGCAGCCAAATTTGGTCTTTGTTCTCCAGTGAGCAGAGGTTCTGGAGGCCGGTTCGATGGGTTGTTCCCTTTTGTTTGAGAGTCACTGGAGTGATCAGACATAGATCCTTCTTCAGAATCACTGTAAGGAGTAATGGGTAGAGGAAAGAAGAGGCTGGCATGATGGCTTTCATTTGCAATAACAGGCTCTTCAGTGATGGTTTCTAGGCTGCATAAAGAAGTGACTGACCTCTGCATCGAGAAATGGCTGACATCTACTTGGAAACATGAAAGAAGAAAAAGAAACAAACAAGAAAAACAGAGATATTGGGTTAATTAGCTATTATGAACTCCAGTTTAAACTGCAGATTTATCCTTTATAGGGCATCCTTTTGCTTTTAAGGTAGGAACTGCATATATTAATAATGGTGTTTTTTTAAACAACTGATGATTTCAAATGTCTAGCAAAGGCAGCAACATTTTTGGTTCTTTCTGTTTGAGCTGCCCAAAAAAGCAGTTGCTTCTGAAAAAACCCAGTCCACGCATGCTAGGAACATAGCATTTTTCTGATTGTCTTAATCAAAGAACAACTGTATCCATCCGTTTCTTTGTGTCTTTGGATCCTCTATTAGAATTTAACTTCTTCCTCCACCATTCAGCACCAGCTGCATTGCTCCTTTCCTTCTTTCCAGCACTCAAACATGACAGTACGTCAGACCATAATCAGATCTCTTATAATCATCAGAACACCTTCAGTAACCAATAGGTGTGATCTTAATAATCAGTTAGTCAAAGAAGAGAAACATCATAGGACTTCTGGAGCAGTTTACAAAGTGAAACAATGTGAATCCATTCTATATAATGTAGTCAATGTGCTTTTAAAAGACAAAACAAAAAAAGCTTTAAAAAGTAACTTTGTTTTCCTAAGAGTTTGCCATTTCTTCTTCATAAGACAATACAGAGATGCATGCTTCATGAATACCAGGCTCACAATACAATCCTAATGAATCATTACATCCACTGTACTACCTGAAAAAAAAAAACAGCACTCCATCTGCAATGTTCCTATTCTGTACCCTAAGAACTGGAGCATTCATGCCAAAAACACTACTTCCCATGTCTCCAAAGCACAAGGCAAACATGCTTCAAAATAAAAAACAAACAGAAGTACAGGCAACAAGGTGCTTGAATCAGTGACACTCACTTGACAGTTACCTTTAACTTGCTTGTCCTTTCAGTTCTTAACTAGAGAGGGAGAGTGTGCATGTAGAATAATAGGACAGAACAGAGGAAAAATCCAGTTAATGTAGGGAAGGCAGGTGCAGGTAACAGGATAAATTAGTGCTGAGGGAGGGAAGGGAGACAGACAAATCTTCAAACATTTTTGTAGGATTCTAAGAATTTCTGACCAACCAGAGCATTTAATAGAATCCATAAATGGACAGATATTAAATCCACTGTTTTGCTTTAGAATAATGTAAGACAATTTTTGCTACTGTTCAAGAAAAGAAACAGAAACGTAATATGAATTTGTTGACACTAGTCATAAAGAAAGCATCTTGATTGTTGAAGGCTTACGTGCACATAAGCCCATCCACCACTCACAGAACAGCCAAATTTTCAAAATCTGGAGAAGTCCAGAGCTGGCCACACCAGTGAGCTCATCCTCTCCCCATGCAGGCCAGGTCACCTGAACAGATTACAGCACAATCACAAAGCAAAATACCAGAAACTGTAATGCAGTTGCCATAAAGGAGACAAACTAGAGACTATACCTTCCTGTCTCACTGTTGCTGCACATCCCATCACCAGAATGTTAATTATGAAATACAGCCATATCAGGCTGATGTTATTGGTTTCCTTGGTGCCTTGGCCCAAGGCACTAAAATAGCAGGAGGATGGGGAAAGCGTGCTGTTTGCACAGTGTTTGTCACTGGACCATTGGCATTCAGTCAGAGTGACTATTTCACCATTTTAAAGGTTTGCTGGTTCCATGCTTGAGAAGTCAGATGGATTTAATCAAATTTCAAGCGTATCACAATATTTATTTAGTGACTTAAGGGGCTAGCAGGGGTGCTGGCACTGATAATGGGAAATGGTTCCTTATGTCACACTACTCAGAGCTTATGAAAAGCCCAATGCCAATAATTTAGGCATAGGAAGGGTTCTGCTGCCCTGGATTAACTTCAAGTCACAGGAATTGGCAAAGTTCTTTCTCTCCTTCCCACTACCCTGGTATCCTCCTAAAAGCTCAAAGCAGATAAAAAGAGTCAAAAACAGAGAGAGAATGAGAAACCATAGATGTCCAATTAAATCATATTGGTTAAAGAAATAAAATATTTTAAATATCTATCTGAGGCTTTCAGAGCTCATTGTAAGAGAACAGCCAGAATCTGCTAGTAAAAGAAGGACTCTGTCACAAACATACAGTTTGTGAGTAAAGATACGGTGACACCATCCCAGAGACCACATGCATACGCCTGGCTTGAAACAACAATATAATAAAATGCTGTAGCTTAAATAATCTTCCTTTAAATGGATGAATTTTACACTGCAGTAGAGAAATGTTAACAGTCGGCACTGCTTGGCTCACGTCAAGTAACATCAGATCACATACCTCATCTGCTTTGTATTATGTAACTGGGCCCTCAGGTCACAGTCAAATTATATATGTAACATTAAGCACGTCTAGAAATGCTTGCTTACTGGGGACTTGTATCTATAGGACCAGAGTGATCTCTTGAATAACCCAGACTAGAGAATTCCCTGAACCGATGTCAGCAATTTACACAATAAACTGCAAGTTCTCTGAGGAAGGAATTTTGTTTGATTGTTTAAAAAAAAAAAAAAAAAAAAAAAAAAAAAAATTTATAATAAATTTTTTTTTTTTTTTTTTAAAAAAAAAAAAAAAAAAAAAAAAAAGCACATTAGATATCAGTTCTGTTGTGGTTTTTGCTCAGTAAAACACAAATGTTGATGATGGAAATAACATTCGTTAAAACAGATTCCCTATATTCAATCTCTACTTAATGCTCTGGTTTGGATCTTAAAATTTGCTTAGTATCATACCACATCCACTGAAAAAAAAAAAAAAGAAAAAAAAAAAAGAAAAAAAGGGGAAACAAAAAGCTCTGAACAAGCAATCCAAACATTCATGGACTATTGACAGCTTTTACTACTGCAGATGGACAACTAGGCATGGGAAGGACTAGTCTAAACCAGGCACATCTATGAAAAAAAAAAAAAAAAATATTTATGCTTTTTTTTTCTGTAATTGCTAAAATAAAAAAAAAAAAGAGCTCTTGATAGCAAAACAGCACACAGGAGCTTCAAGGTAAAGATGCTATGCAGAAGCTGAGACAATGATGTGATCTAAGGTGGAGAAGGGTGAAGAAAATCTGGTCTTACCAGTAAAGAATATAGGGGATTTACTTCGAATTTCCTCCAATTTTTGAACGAATAAGGCATTCATTTCCCTCTGTAGGGTGCCCACTTGCCTTCGAGAAGTTTCAGAACAGCGCTTGGGAAATTCTGGGCTTCCAAGGCTTTCTAGACTGCTGGAGTTGGAGGATACAGAGCCATTGCTGGCTGCAACCAAGTTGATAGTGCTTCCATACTTGCCACCTGATTGGCACTGCCACCGCTGCCGGGAATGAGCCTTTATTCCATGACATTTAGATTCAACATTTTTCTTCCCTGAGGTCATGAATGACTGGGTGCTCCTTGTTAGATCATCAGCTTTTCCAGCGCTACTGCAAGACTGCAAATCTGACTGTGGTCTGGACTGAGCTTTAACACCCCAGTTTTCAAGCTCTAACCTCTCTTCTCCACTTATACTGTTATACTGATCATGGTGAAGCAAATCTTTAGCAATAGGCCTGGTAGGTTGGTCACTCCACTTGCTTTCTAGATCTGGGCTTTCTTTGGAACCAATCATGCATTTCATGCAGTTGGTGGCCACTCCAATCCTACCAGAGCTGTTGATGGCGCAGCGTGCAAAAACACTTTGCTTCTCACTCTGGTGCTCCCGGAGCCGGACCCTGTTAGACCTCTGTATGGGTTCACTGAAAGCAGCACCCCCTTGAGCACAACTCTGACTTTTGGCTTTATGAGAACTCTGGGCCTTACCTTTCAACCCTTTGCCTTGTATCTCCCCACTGGCACCATCCCTGGGAGCTGGTGACAGAGAAGCACTTTCTGACTCTTGCGCAAAGCAAGGCTGTGAGGCAGCTTCTGCTTCGTGGTCTTCACTGGCCCCTTCAGAGCTGTTGTCTTTTGTGTCAAAAACAATTTCAGGAAAGCCCTTCTTCTTCTTCTGGCTTTTGGTGGGTGCACTTGCTGTCCGTCTCAAGATGTGGCTGCTAAAGGAATGTTTGCGGTGGAGCTGACCAGCAGCATGACTGTCCAGGGAGGCCTGCTTTGGATTTCTGAGAAATAGGCCTTTTAGGCCCAGAGCTTGTTTGACCTGGAAAATTAAGAAAAAAAAGTCCTTAACAGAAAATGGAAAGCTCTTCCTTTGGGCCCAGGAACTCAAGTTCAACGATCAAGTGACAAAATGATTCTATGATTCTATTCTCGTGCACTGCACACACATGCACTTACACACAGAATATTCTGGTGTATTTCTGACATCAGCATATAAACTAAATCAAAAATGGGACAGGAAATAAAAATGTGAAAAATCAGCAGCAACTGTTTTGCACAATTTCACTTTTTGTGTGTGTGTTTACATAACATTTTCCAGCCAGGCTTATCTCTGTATTTGGCATAAATTTCTTATTAATTTATAGCTCCTTACAAGCATGTGTGTAAATAATCCCAAGGAATTAGTATAACAGAGGAATTAGGACATCCTAGTTCTTACACTGTGAACTCAAGTTCTAACAAACTGCTCTATCAGAAAATACTAAACAACACTCAGGCTTCTATATCACACTGTAATTAAAATAAAGCTACAAACACCACTAGTTGATGTTATCCTCAAGTGCCATTACCAGCTTTGGGGCTTTGCTGAAGTTAAGACCTGCTGGCAAACAGAGTACTTAAAAAAAGTATCTGAGCATGTTTTTCAATTAAAAAAAAATCCACCTGCAAATTCATGCAGCTAAATATGTTAGGATAAGGCCAATCAGAATTGTTGAAGAATTAAATTAAATTTGAAACACAGCGCTGAATTCTTCAGCTTATGTTACATCATATTTGTGCAAAACTGCACATTAGATGCTGACTAGTCTAATCTTTCCTGTCTCTTAAACTGGGAATGGTAACTACCACTCATATTTCAGACAAGGAATTTGCAGCATGCACCAGAGGTTCCAGCAGGAATAAAACAGAATGTTCTGAGAAAACAAGAGGAAGAAACTAAAAAAAAGAAACAAAAAAATCAAACAAACGTCACACAAAACAAGCTGTAGAAATGGTGGCAATTTCAAAAGATATTTTAAAATCATCTTAACTTTACTTCTCATGCAGTATCAGATGATTACAGAATTTAAATGATAGTGACATATTCAGCTAAGTATTATTTTTCTCTTATTATGTTATAGATCATGACAAATTTGATGCCAAAATCTTTACATCTTTGCATCTTTTGTAGCTGTCAGGAAATACACAGTGGACATAAGAACATCATATATTGTTTTTCAGTATAAACAATACTGATTCCTCACTTAAGCAATATCACAAGAAGGAACTGAACTACGTTTGACATGTGGTCTTCAAAATATTTCTCTTTCTACCTGTGCAATTACATTATGATCATTTCCTACCATACAATACATCCAAAGACACTCATGTATGTTTTCATCACTGAAGAAACACATCATAAACAGATGAAGTTAGTCACGTTGAAAATAGAGTACTTCATATACTTCAGTACTTAAGTATGAAATACAGAAGCACTGTTAAAGATTCCCCCACCATCATACAGTGATTCACATTTCAGCGAAACTAAAAGAATTTCAGCATTCCTGTAAACATTCCAGGTGTACTTGCCAACTTTTAAAGCTGATGTATGATAAAGAGTAGATTGGTCTTGATCCATGCATAGAGCCTCTTACAAGTAATGCAGAGAAAGAAGCATGACCCTTCTAATCTGCTTCTCCTTTGTTGCTTTTATTTTCCAGTTAGATTAGGCTCTCTTTATAGCAGTGGTTCACTTCCTTAAGCATAAAGAATGAATAAAAATATAGTACAGAAGCCTATAACTGAAAAGCATTGTAAGAAACCCATGGTAAATTTGATTGGCATTTATGCAGTTTACTTATCACATGCCAAAATCCACTGTGAGAAAGAGATAGCTAAAAAGCAACCTAGAATGGACTTCACAAATATACAGAGAGTAAGATAAAGAAGGCAGGGATTGTCTCTTTCCCATTTGTGGACAGAAGCAGTGCCAATAATAGCCAGCAAAGAAAATGTAATTGAAATATTAATAAGCATCCTGTGAGAGCCAGGCTATTTAACAGTCTGCTTGGATCAAAGTAGACTCAGCTTCCTCTAGGAAGCTTCAAAATGAGATTCTGCATTTGTTAAGCAGTGAGGAGAAAAATGTTCCGCTCCAATTGGTGAAAGTTGGCAAGTACACAAATTTATTGCTATAAAAGTCATACAATATAAATATTTGCAAAGTTAGGAAAAAAATGACACACACATATACATATAATTAAAAACAAAAAAAGAAAAGCAGTAATGGAATGGGTGACAAGCAATGCAGGGCCCCAGGTATCATTCCTGATCATTTGGTGCATCTTTGTAAAGTTAGACACTATTGCTTGAATCAATTGACTGATTCAAGAATGCAGAGATAAATTTGGTTAACATAAAAAAAAATTCTCAAAAAAAGTTGAAAAAGAGAGCCATTTTGATGCAGATCCAGAATATGTGCTTTTAGCCTTTATCCCAGCTTTTATAGGGCCACTTCAGTTTTCAAAATACTTAGAAAGAGGCTTCTCCACAATTTAGAAAAGCATTCACTGTAAAGGTTCTTTTCCACATGAAAGAATTACAGCTTGTAAGAGAAGAGATGGTAAGCAAAAACTCAAAGAATAGACAGAGATTATCGAAGGACTTTTATCCTGGATCTGCTTCATAAATGAGGGCCTCTCCAGCTGAGCAATGACCCAACAAAACTGACCAAGTCAAATGTCACAATCCATGGTATGAGTTGAAGGGCTTCAAAATGCTAGTAAGGAAACATTGATGCTAACGAAGTTAGAGGCATGCAGGTGTGTGCTGGTGGTCACTACACCTCCCTGAGTTAGGAGGGGGTACCTTCAAGGCGTCTAAAAATGTTCTGCTTCTAAAAGTAGACTTTTTTTGACATAGAGAAGCCCACTGAAATCACAAACAGACAGAGTAAAGGCAAATAAGACACACAACAACAGAGAGGGAGAGTCTCATCTAAGAAAAAAAGGAGAAATTCCACAATACATAAATAGACTACAGAAGAGACGGACAAAGAAAAGTGTCTCCAGGAAACAGTGCAAGCTAGAAGAAATTTCGGTTAAAGACACGTTGAAGCAAAAGAAATCTAAGACTCTGCTTTTGTGATGCCAAACTAATGAAAAGGTTGAAAATGCTAAAAAGCTTTATTTTTGCATTAGAATATTTGGATTAATAAAGGATGGGTAAAAACCAGACCTGTAGCTACAGAGTACAAGCTTTCTTTCCAAGTCCTTGCGTTTTAATTAGGTTGTGCACCACATCAACATTTTAACACCAGAAAATCTCCAGAGACTGCAATGATGATGAGAAGCAACAAGGGGTGTGTAATATATTGAGAACATGAAAAGGGGACAAAGCAATCAAGAAACAAATTAGTGCAGTAGTTTGGAAGCTAGCAGATAAGGACAGGGAAGAGACAAGTGTGATACATAAGGGTCGTTTAGCTGTTTGAAAACTCACCAAGAAAATCTACTGACCTCAAAACAGCTGCCAAAGTTTAAACAGGCATGTCACCCTACTACAAATTATAATTATCACCAGCCAGTTACTCATGAAGAAGCTAATAAGAGCAAATATTATGAAAGATTAGATAAAGTAAGGACTAAAAGAGTGATAATGCCTCACAATATTGCCAAATAAGAGTTGAGGTGAAAACTCTTAAGACTGTAAACAATCTCTTCTACGAAGAATCACAATCAGTATCAATGACTTGGAAGCTGAAGTTTCAGTCATTGAAGTTATTAGTCATGATGGCAGACTCAGTTTGTCTTAGCCTAAAAATCCCATTTGACAGCAGACACTGAGTGTTAGACTTCAGTTACTAACAGGATATTGAAGTATTTGCTATCCTTGCAACAGCAGCACAGGCATCACCTGAATGCAGGGCACAACTGGAATACAAAAACTGCACACGACACTGAGAGACAGAATAGAATCTCTCTATTCTCCATCATTTTGACTAAGAGTAGAACAGAAAAGAAGAAAAAAGATGAGTAGTGCTGGTAAGGCCAGTCATCATCTCTGCTGGAGCCATAGAGCAAATAGATGCCTGCTTTCATTAAAGGATGTAGGTGAAGGACACAGCCACTAAGAAGGTAAGATCAATTTCCACTGGCCTTGTGACCAAGGGTGAGCTTCTCCAGGACTTGCTACAAGTCTGGTGAGTTTGAAAGACCTATTCAAGAATGAGCAATAGACCTGAACACAGGAACTCCGAAGTTCATAATCAAAAGTAAATCTGTTTGAATCTTTGCTAATGCATGCATCCAGCAAGTGTCTGCAAGCTTTCTGAGAGAATCACATCCCTACTCACAGTCATAAAGGCACGACTTAGATACAATTCCCTGCAACACAAAAATACAGTCAGAACAAAATCTTAGCATTGAATTAGTCAGCTTATCATTACTCTTCCCTGAAGAGCATTAAGTGGTTTTTAATAACCTTCATGTTAGCCTTTTACTTGTGACAGGCACTATGATCATTAAAGCCTGTTCTCTGTCTTACTCAGACCAACACCAACTGTCTCTCTTGCTCCACAGAGCTACATTCAGACATTCATAACGCAGGCAACAGGGAGTTTCAGGCAGGACTCCCATCTCTGTCAGTCTGAAGCGACACCTGCCCAGAGACTCTAGTGTCAGATATCAAATTAAAAGAAGCAGGAACTGAGCTTAACATCTCATTTCATGAGGTATTTAATATCTCATTTCATCCTCACGAAAGCCACACTTTCCAGAAACAGCTCTTTTTATAAACTGAAAACGAAGCTTTCCTAGTAGTTATCTTGGTTTCATCCCACTAAATTAGAGCAATTTAAAAAGCTATTTTCCTTTGTAAGAATTATTTCAATTCTTTCTGCATGAACACCATACACACACACACAAAAAAAAAAAGACCAAAAAAAAAAAAAAAAAAAACCAAACCACCTTAGAATTCCCATCCAGTTCAATGCTGCCTCCTGCTGTCAGGATATTGATATATCACTTTGTTGAAAGGGTTCAGCCTCACAATAAGAGATTAGAAACTGGTTTTGAGATTCTCAAGGCCTATAAGATACTCAGAATCCTGAATCTCATTGAAATTTATTCAGTGGAAGTAATTAAATCCAGTTTATTTCCCCGCGGTGCACTCATTTCTAGCTGGCCCAGGCAAAGTTAGAGCTTTATTTTTAGCTTGAGAGTTATTCACATGAATTAGCTGTACTTCTCCTGCACATGAAGTAAGCACACTATTACCAAGAAATGAACAGTGGAGAATAAGCCCAACCATAATTATGAAGACCAAATCTCCCCTGCACTTTAATTGCTATTATGGAAGAATTCCTAAGCAAATGACGGCTAGAAACTTAATTAAATTTAAAATGCAAAATCATCAGGCAGACCAGGCCTTCATAGAACAAACTTTACAGGAAGAAAGCACTCATGGTTCAAGGATGTAACCTCTTCTTTACCAATGTGCACTTACTATAGTGGACACAAGCACATTTATTCATAAGAACGTGTGTACACTGCAATGAGATAAACTCCTTTGGCTCCCTCAAAAATGTGCTGCAAGAATCTTTTTTTATAATGTATCCTAAGATTTGTGTTTTGGTGTGCACTCAAAGATCTTAGGCTACTATAACAATCACACAGATGAAGTTAGAGTAAATAGGTTCATACAGACCCTCAATCACTGGACTTCTCTAGTGTGACACAAAATCCTGTCAGTTCATTGACATACACAGGTCACATTGCACTGCACTGACAGCACTTACCTTACCACAGATGTCATTAATAGCCACATGAACAAAGATGGATGCCTCTTCTATACCTTCTAGGTATACATGTCGGTAACCTGAAACGCAGGATAAACCAAGATGACAAGGAAGGGAAATAGATGATAGCAAAAGCATCTAGAGACATTCCTTTTGTAAACAGCAAAAAAGTCCTGAACAACTGATGTGGTAATTCCTCATTTCTTTCTTACCTGGCATCATACTGCTGAAAGCTATTGTTCTTTGTCCAATAAAATCCCGCCCAATTGGATCATGGTCCCACACCAGGAACCGAATCAACGCGATCTCTGGCATGTGCAGCGTGAACACCAATGTTTCTTCCCACATTGGGTTAAATCCTGGGAAATAAAGAACCAGCTTTTATTTTGTTCACGAGATGCATGAAGAAAGAAGACTGTCTATAAAAGGAGCACCTGAACTGCAATGACATGCTAGTTTTCCTAGCAGTTTAATCACTGTTCTTTAAAAATCCAGCACTCCTACTCACTTCAGGAGACACAATGGTATAAGAACTTGCAAGAAACGTTGATCTTACTTGAAGTTAGCACTGCTCTGAGTGTTTGGACAAACTAACCTTTTTTGACTCTTCCTTTGAACTCTGCCAAGTCCAAATACCTTTCTCGCACGTACAGTGAGAAGTCAGACAAAAGGCTAGTTTCACACCAAGATCTTCAACAACATCATACCAACTCACTTGAATAATTCAAGATCCAAGTCCGATTAACATCAATAACTGTATCAGTTTTTCAGGATTTTTCTCTATAATTGGCAACAAGTTTCACCTGTTCGTCTCTTGATAAAAAATGCTTGCCTGGAAGAGGATGTTTCAGCCACAAGAAAGCCTAAAAACTCCCGCAATCTTACCATTATCATCAACTACTCTAGTTTGTTCTTTGAAGCAATCGACAGGTAAGCCTATAACTTCTACTTCAACAAATGGATCTATGATCTGAAAAACATAAAATAACAAATCCTGAATAGAAAAGGTGATAAAGGCAAAATTCAAGCACATGACTAAACATTACAGCATGGGCATTGTACATTATTGTCTTAATTATAAATGGTACTAAGACTTTTTATACAGGATTACTATGCTAATGAGATTGAGGTCCAATCACCTAAATCATTCAGAATGATCACAGTGTTTGTGATTCTTGACATGAGGGAGTAAGTCTGAATGTTCTGGAGGCTCTTCCAGAGCAATCACTTAAAACATGACTGCAGCTGCAGGGAACTCAATTCAAAGGCTCAGTTTTCTCCCAGGATTATGTTCTGCATGAAAAAAATCCCTCTGCTTCTCGGGTTAAAATGAAAGTTGAAGAGATTATTCTTCCTTTTCTTGAGTTCAATCTGAATTAGGAAAAATTCCATACTGTTGTACATGTGGTATTAATAACAATAAAGAAAGAAATAGAAAGAGACTATTGAAAACATACAAAGGTTCACCAAACCCTTAGTATGATTCTACTGTATTTGCTTTTTAGGGAAGGTTTCCTGGTCTGATGTAGTCACCTAAACGGTTCTATGAGGAAGGAATATTTAGAAGCTGATTGCAATATCCATGTAAAAACCAAGCGTGTAAGAATTCATTTGAGAGGCTCAATTCTCTCTTCAATTCTGACAAAAATGCCTCACCCTAGCATTTGTTAATGACCAATAAACTAACATAAATGATATTGCAACAACAAACAAGAAATCAACAAAAACTCTTGAAAAGTATGTCAAGAGGTTTCAAATTTGACTTATTTTAGCCTGGTTTGTCTTTAAATAGAGTTGTCTCTGGCATTATATAACAAAAATAGCATTACAAAACAAAATAAATAACAACTTGAAAAGTCACTCAAAAAAGAGAAGGCAAAAAGAAGAACAGAAAGAAAACATAATAACACAGTGCTAAATGGAGAACTGGGAGCAGATTTATCTAAGCGGAAGGACTTTGAAGTAAATCTCCCTTGCTTGGCATGCTCAGCAGTTTGGTGGGGTTTTTTTTTTGTTTGGTTTTTTTTTTTTTTGAGTGACAGTTTGTATTTGAGGGCATTTATAGTACTGTTGTGAGTAGAATCCCACAGTCATGAGCTTATTGGCCTGTTTTTGCTTGTCCTGGTGGCACTGTTTTGACAACTGAAGAAAAAAGATTCCAGCTATTGCTGTGATGCTTTGAAGACTTGAAAACCACCTAAAAATCTAGGATGATAATGATCTGCCTAATTTATTCATGTTCTATGTCTCCCAACAGATAACTGCAGGAAATGAAATCCTCATCGTAAGCTCAGCTAATTTGGAAATAAACCTTCACCAACACATAACAACAATCACTAATAGTTTAATACCTCTCCTCTGTCTCCCAGCATGGAATCCCGTGGTTTTGGGAGCTGTTGACCACTGATAATTCTTAGAACCAGCTGTTTCTTCAACTGACCAGGCAGTGGATCTTCAGAATTTGGATTAAAGATGCCTGAATGAATGAAAAATCATGGAACATTAAAAAAAAAAAAAAAAAAAAAAAAAAAAAGAGTAGTAGTACTTCACTCACTGTTCTCTTATGGTAAGTCTCCCACTCATTCTAATAATTTTTCTTACCTTGACACATGCAGTCCGGTTTGAGGACATAGCCACAATTCCCATTGGCACTAAATTTGGCCCGGTTCAGTTGCAGCATTCTCCCCTCTGACTGGTAGTTTAAAGCCACTGTTCACCAAAAAAAAGCAAAAAAAAAAAACAAACAACCAAAAATTTTTAACCTTATTATTAACAAATTATGTTATCAACATTATTGTTTGTAGAACCAGGTTAAAGGAAGAACATCTAAGTATATTTTCACTTTTGATTTTTTGGGTGCAAAAACTCAAAAATGTATTTTCTGAAAGAGTTCTATGCTATAGCACACATCAGCTTCAGGGAGTGAAGCTCTGCAAATGAATCTCAGAAGTTGTCTTGAAGTTGAGAAGGATATTACTTTATCCCTATTTAGCAGACAGCTGCCTTCACAGAAGGCATATGATTCAAGTATTCTATCTAGAAAGCAGCATAGAAAAATAACAGGAAGGACTCAAATGTCAGTAATGTTGAATAAGCAAAGAATTCAAGTACTTTAAGAAATGATTCTTAAAGCTCCCATTAAAACATTCCTTCCAAAATAAAACAAAAATAAGCTCTCTTTTTGCTCACCGAGTTGGCAGCCCGCATTCCAGAATGGCTGGGGATTGTAGTTGCTGGAGTCTACGCGGTAGGAAGACGGGTAGATGCGGGATAACTGATGTTGGTTGAAACGCAGATACTGTGCTGGCTTTTGCTGCAGTATCTGGTGGGCTTTTGTTTCACTGAAAGATGAAACCTGCCAGCTGGAAGAGACTGCAAAGGGAGGAAGTGATTAGAGGCCTAATCTCCTTATTTATTTATTATCTAAATAAGACATTCAAACAAAGATAGCATTAATTACTTATAACAATCTATCATAATTTGAATACATTCTACTTTGAGGGAACAATTCTTTTCTTATTTTATAGAAGACTAACTGTGCTTACTGGAGGAATTAAAGCTAGGATAAGGAAACTGAATGGCCTGAATCCTCATTAAGAAGTTACAAAAGTTCTCTAAGATTTTTTCAATTTGCTGAAAGAAAGTATTATTTCTGGCAAGCAATTCTCTGACATTTTTAACTAAATTTTGATTCCTGTGAGAATCAGATGCAGAAAATGTAGAAAGATGACTGAAATATTCTAGGAATATAATGGGGATGGTTCACCAGGTCTGAAGTAAAATCTAAGCTTTGGAGATACTTGTCTTGGTTTGAAAAGCTCTTCAAACCATTCTTCCCCAGAAAATAACTAAGCCCTCTGTTATATCCAGTGATGTAAATGGTCTGTAGCAACATTTGTAAGTGCTACCAAAAAGTACATGTGTCACTGCTACATGGAGTAGCTTTACCTCCTTTACAGTAGCTGCCACACAACTCTATACCCATTTTGTAGCTTCTGAATAGCAAGTGGTCAGCCACTTTGTCAGCACAGCTTTACATGCAGCTCTTCTGTTAAACTTTTCTGAAGTTACAGTAGAAACAAACACATAAACAACTTTTAAATAGAAAAGACCTAAGAACATAAATCTTTCAATTTATTTGCACAGCAATTACTTCCAGCAGACTTCTACATCAACCTACTTTCAGCTTCAACATCATGGATGCCAACAGACTTTGTATATTTCACCAGGTCTGAGAGTGCCCGGGACAACTTCATTGTTTTCTTCTGCCGGTTTATCCTGGAATAATAAAACATTTAAATTTCCCATGAAATAAGAATAAAAATATGAAAACTTTCCTTTTCATATTTAAAAATAAATCAGAATAGAGAAATAAGAAGGTTTTCTTCACCAAGGAGGTATTCAATTTTTATAGCAGAGACTCACTGTCAAAGCAGTGGAAGCAACTGCATTAATGTACAAACAGAGTATCTACTAATCTCCTGAAGAAAGTTCTAAAGTATCCTAGAGAACTGCTTGATCTGATTTCCTGCTTTTACAGGCTGAATCTTACAGAGCCGCCATTCCACAGAGGACCTTTGATTTCAGGATTTTTGGAAAGGTAGTTTCAAAAGAAAATTAAAAAACATCACATGAACCTTTATGCAATTTTACGTGGCAAAAAAACAAAGAAACAAACAACAAAAAGCACTGGCAAGCAGATTTACTTTGCAAATCAACTGTAATGGGTTTGCTGGGCTGCCAGTCAAACAGTCTACATGTCAGCTGGATGAGATGGTAAGAGCTCAGATGCACATTGGATCCACTGTACATTGCTAATTAGTCCAAACAGCACCAAGAGATCATCCTGATGTTGTGGCTGACACTGGATCTACCCTCATGTAAAATTCCTCTCACACAACTGAGGATACCCGTCAACAAACAGAGCTCAAGCATGGCTATTTAGCAGGTACATTCAGGCAGGAATCTTTTTCAGAAACAAAGCTGCCAAATCACTTGTTACAAACCTGGTGTAATGTACAGAGCCTCTGGCTACATTTCCTTGAGAATCAGCATCATCTTCACCTTCTTCCAGACTGGTTGATTTTTTCAATTTGCTTCCTTTTTTCTGTGCCACAACAAAACAAAACTGTTATATAGAATGGACTCCAATATTCAAGAGATTCACTTTTTTCTATGAAGGATGTGGACCAATCAAGAAAAAAACTAAACTCATGTTAGACCTTCAGTCCTTTTAGACTTCAGTGTAAACTGAAACTAGATGTTATGCACAATTATAACCAGTTATCTGTCCTGTTTATTCAGCAAACAGAGCAACAGCAAGCCAGATAGTACAAATATGATAATCCTCTCCTACTGTTGCCTAAAAGAAAGAAACTATCAAAGAATGCCACATTCACAGTAGAACTTCCTAGGGTGGCTTACCTTGCGTTTAGAAAAGCTGCCCATCAATGTCCGGCTGTGCCTTTTATTGGTACTGAAGTCTTCCCCAGATTCCACATCATCCTCAAGTTTATTCTAAAATAATCAAACAGAAAAAATATTGCAGCAGACCTGAGCAGAGTACTACAGACAGCATGCACAAACATAATCAAAAATAGTTTGGGATGCAACTCACCCTAAAATGTCAACAAAACATGACCAGACCAAAGCAAGGTTTTCTTGTATGTTTGATGTTTTTTTTAATACAAGCTGAGCACAAGGTCTTTTATCCTAGCAGTAACTGTCATCACTTTCATCCACAGGAACTTTCAGAGCAGATACAGATCACAAAAATACTAAATTCCCTGCATCAGGAAATATTATTTTTATCCACATAAGCTCTGAGTGCACCCTAGCAGTGTATATTCACTGGTGACAAACTGCTTTCTAACTTAATATATGAAAAGCATAGCTCAACAGGACTTACTTCTGCCATGAAACGTGGCCTAAATTACATGGCTTTACATGCCTAGCCTATGATAAGAAAGAATCAAATTTCTTGCAGTCCCTAAGAAAGTGTATCATTCATTGGTGCCTCTAATCTTTAATATGACCTCATAGTTTCACTGTTTCCCACTCTAATCTGACACAGACAACTCTGGCTAGTGCTTACTCAGAAGGATTCCTACAGTCTTGGCCTTACAGCAGATTTTACAAAAGTACTGTCTGATGCATCACCTAAATCATTCATTTTAAAAGTACGTACAAAACTCATGAAAAAGAAAGTTTTGGGAAGCTGAATTTTAGCTTTCATCTGGTTTTAATGCCCAGTTAGTTCACCTGCAGATTGGCAGACCTCCAATGTTTTTCATTTGCATGCAGCAGCATTCCTTAGCTTATTATAAATTCCAAAATTACAACATTCACGTTCCTGAAGTGTTGGCTATTTATATTTTCATAAAGAACCATTAGTATAAGATTAAAATACAAAAGTAGGTGTACAGAAAAGAGAGAGCAGAGGGAAAAAAGCTCAGCTTTCATACGCACTTTTTTATATAATGGGAAACAATTTTTTTCTGTTGAAAAGTCATTTCGTGTGTACATTTCATGCTCCAATTGCTGAGTGAGAAAAAAAGCTTCACAAATCTGACAGTGATGTTCACCTGGCATCATCATTAACTGAATGAACTCAGCTATGAAATCTGAAGTCTATAATATATTATTTATTCAGTAAGGTAATAAACCATAACAAACTGAAATGCTAAACACCTCTTCCTCCAAAACCATTGGAGAAAGTCTTTGGATGTTGGACAAAGAGGTATTTAGCATTTCAATTTCTATTTTGAAGGACTGCCATATTTCATTATTCATATGCAACAACAAGCATCTCTTTGCACCAAGCGTAAATAATGAAAACAGCAAAAATTAAAATATCATTATCATCAAAATAAGAAGAGGCTTCCACTAAATGGACAAAAATGACAAAAAAAATCATCTGCATATTTTAGATTTTATATAAGAAATACGAGGTATTAACAAAATACAGATAATAACAAATATCAAGTACTACAGAAGGAAAAGCATTTTCTATTTTGCCATATGAATATTTGGGGGCAAAAATATTACTTCACAATGATGGGAAACTTCAATAACTCTAATAAATTTAACTAAATTCCTACCAGTGTAACAAGACCTATGATTTCAGCCAAAACCAGCAAACAAAATTTTCTAAATCCACATTCATCTTTTCTTTTAAGGGCACACAATTTTCTTTTAAGGGCAGAGTTGAGCATGTTTCAGTTTCATTAGTACTATGACAGCTGCAGATCTCACTGGTAAACTAAGTCACCTTTATTCAGAGTGTCAAAATAGATTTAAAAGTCCAACCTTAGGCACTCTTTTGAGGAAGCAGTCACGAAACAGCAGTACTAAGCAGCTATAGAGAGACAAAAGTGCAGCTAAATCTAGGGGTTGAGTGATGTACAGTATGTGTTCACCTTCTTACTGTCTGATTTCTGACCAGTCTTCGCAGATGATGGCAGAGTGGCAACTGTAAAATTGTTTGGATCTTCACAGTCACGGATTTTGGATTCTTTTATCAGTGAGTCAAGTTTTTTCTTTGCTATGTTCTCCACTCTTTTCCTATTTGTAGCTGCCTACGAACAAAACATAATCATTAAACAAGATACAGGCAAAACAATCTTAGCAATTCCAGCTGGGATTAGCAGAAAATGGAATGTTATTTGCAAGATCAAACCTTCGATCTAAAAATTATCTGGGAAACCTACAAAATAAGGATCTTATGTACCACTGTGACCTTGATTTCAGTAGTTTTGTAAAATCAACTGTTCTGGGGTTTTTTGGGTATTGAAAACACTCCTACATGTCTGGGAATACAGACAAAAGAACTGGAAAACAGGAAAACACGGAAGTAGTTTTTTCTTCCTTTCTTTTGTTTATGATGGAAAGAACACCGTCATGCAATAAAGACCAGTGAGATATTACTAGTTAAATATTAAAAGGAATAAAATCACAAATTTGAAAGATTACAGCTAGAACTGGTGCTGCCTAATATGCACTTCTGCTGAAACTGCACAAAGGATTAAAACCTTAAGAACCTGTGACGAATGCCCAAAATTGCACAACATGCACATTTGAGAGAACTCATACAAGGTTTCCTCTGTCTGGAATGGGAAAATGTAAAATAGATTTACATTTAAACGATCGCTTAACTTACATCTCCATTCATTATTTTACAGTCATCATCAATCTCATCAGCACTGTCCTCATCAGAAACTTCACCCTCCTCTGCATCATCACTAATGTTGGCTGGAAGTTTCTTCCCCTAGAAGATGATTACACAGGCAGGTTAGCACACAGCTCTTGCTATGACATATTTTAAACAAAACAAAATTGAACAAAAAAATCATTACTGATGGGAAATTAAAAAAAAAAAAAAAATCCCATAGAGGTGAAAATCTTAACATGCAAGCAAACAGTAAAATGCTCTTGACTTGTTGTTTGTGTTTGTTGAAGGTCAAAGAAAAGAAGATATTCATGAAGAACAAATCTTATTTACTTTTCTGATCAGGGTGAACTAATAGAAAACAGATTCCCTTTTTTCTAAACCTTCTCATTATGCAATTCAACTGTAGCAGCCAGATTTTCTCCATCTCGGTGCTTCACTATTTCATTAACATGAGCTAAAAAACTGTGAGCTGACTGGATAATAGGTGAAATGATAATATTATTCTAAACAGGAGAGAAACAGAAAAACTGCCAGAAAGAAGGAATGAGGAAGATGACGTGTGGTTATAATTTAAACTCAATGAACAGGAGCAGATTGCAATTTCCCATTCAACTTGAGCCAAATCTGTTAAAGACAAAATCCTGTCTGTATTCTCACATATTCAGCTCAGGGTCCAGAAAAACATCACTATTTCAGTGTCTCAAAAATAGCTGCTTTCTAAGAGTTGTGCATCAGGAGCCTGCCTTCTTGCACAGCCAGCCAGATGCACGGGCACTATATGAAAGGTAAAACTTATTCTTTAGCTACACATATTTCAGAAATTGTTACTTGTGTTGGCTTACCTAGATAATGCTGGCAAACAGCCCCAAACGGCCTTTATCACTGCATTAAACCTTTATTACAGATTGTTTATCGTGATGTCATTTAAATTAGCACACAAGTGACAACCAGGCAGAGATTGTAGTCACCACAAAAAAGGAGAGATGGAACAAACCAACCACGTTTTTACCTTAACCAGTATCTTCCCTTTAAGACTTGCTGGTGAAGGGAGCCTGGTAGAGTCATCATTGTGCACAGAAGACAGATCCAGTTTGTCACCCAGAATTTCTGTAAGATATTGGGCCATCTTCTTCTGCTGAATTACACTGCAGTGGTTCTCAATTGACAAGATAACAGGGTACCTGGAAAGACATAAGGAAGTATCACCAACTGCAAATTTAGCTTTTATGGCATTACAAAGATAAGGGTTATTACTGTCTGAGCCATTCCTGTAAGGAGAATGACCACCAATGAAATCTACAGGGTAGATATCCTGATTGATATCCCAGTACTCTCTCCAAACTGAATAGTCTATTTTAGATCACCACAGAACAATTAAACTTCTTCAATCTGATTTGATGCATTTTTTCCAGAGCACACTTTTCACTTTCCTATACTAGCCAGTCCTGACCTCCACTTCCTACTAGAGAGATTCAAGAAAGCCAATCATAGAAAAAACCTAAACATGCAGTGCTTTCAACTCCCCATGTCTCATGCCTTATGTCTCAAAAGTTAGCAGATTGTACACATACTCATTCTTGATAAAGGCGTATTTGTTGATAGTTTCAATCACATCTTTGAAGAGAATTTTGGAAGTCAAAGTGTATCCATGGTGGACAATTGGTTCACCATCCGGCCCATCCCAGCAGTCAACTGCAGAAGAGAAACAATGATACCCATCATTTTACTGTGTGTAGACAGTTGTACGCATTGTTTGAGAAAGCCCCAAGCAAAAAAAGGATCTCTTTAAGAAGTGCTGAGGAATATTATGAAGGGAGAAGAGATGACATAGCACAGCATTATTTTCGTTATACTACTGCTGGACCTTAAAGGGAATGCAAGAGAATCCTAGCCAAGCTTCTCACATCACAACCAGAGCCAAACTCTAAGCAACTCCGGTCTTCCTTGGATTCTGCCTAAGCTCACACTTGTTTACAGTCATGTTTCCATGAAATGCTTTGCTCCTCCGCAGCACGCCTTGGCATGTCCACAATCTGACCTGAGCAAACTATAATATTAGCCTTCTGAAAAAATGTGAAAGCACTTTGATGGTCACGATATTACAGATGATTACAGAAGAGGCAGTCTCAGAAAAGCATTACAAACATTAAAAAGAAATTTCAAAAAAGCTTCTGGGTCATTACAGGACTATCAGTATCTTGCATTATAAAACCACATTTTCCTCGTCAGAAATATCAGCTTTCTCCTCTGTTTTTAGTGAGAATTCTGCCCTGTTTGCCTGTCTGGTTGACATACATTTGGCCAGAAAGTATGCTCCCCAGAACATCCTAGCAAATGTTAGCATTCTTTCCCGAGATCATTTTCACCAATTTTTTCCTTAGTACCAATGACACTTCCTCCATTGTTCGCCTCACTCATATTCAAGAAAATTTATCCACTGTATAGCAACATAATTTAATGTTTTTCATAACAGGAAGACATCATTTCGTAAGGCTCCTTAGTCCAAGCAATTACTAGATCTTCTGCTATAGCCCTAAGTCTTTCTTTACAGAGAAGCAAAAGTATGGAGCTTACTGATGATTCCTTTATGTTCTTTACCTTCAACACAGCGACAGCCAGACTGTAGCACCCATGCATACATGTCCACCCTAGACTGGGACATCAGCTGATCTCCCATGAGGTAGGTATTATGTGAAGAGGTAATGAAATAGTGACTCAAAGGGTAACTCATGTCCTGATTCACTTGGTAGTGTTCTGGGTTGAAAATGTCCCCTGAGGGACTCCGCATGTAATTGGTGAAACCTATGAACAAACAATACTATAAGTAAGACAGTTTTGTTCTTTTTGTTGCTGTGGTCTTCCTGAAACCAGCTAAGAACACATCCCTGCATGCACCAACACAGTCATGAACATATCAAGTAAAATAAAGAAGTAAATCTGTATCCCACCCAGCACAAGACAGTTCTTTGCTCTGACTCTCCTGGAAAACATGCCTATATTTAACCAAAACTTGACACTGTAGATTTATAATTCAAAAGATTTTGATGGAATAGTAAGTGGCGTAATGCATAGAAGACTCTAAAATCTTCCAAAGAATACTAACTTCACCTCAGTAAGTAACAGATACCTCCCCTCCCACAAAAAGCAACAACCCAATGCCAAACCTACTTAAAAGCATTCGCTATGTTATCTAATACAATTCTATGACTTTATAAGCGTGCAAACAAATGCGATTTGTCATAAGCATTTAAACACTGTTCACCCTCTCCCACAACAGCTATACCAGTCAACTTACCATCAATCCCCAGAGCTCCTGCCTTCTTGTTTTCCAGGCATGGTTCAAACTTGTCGATAATTTCCAGGCAGTGTTCTCTGGTCACATTTGTCATCTGTAAAAGTAACATAAGTGAAGTGTTAACTAACAATCCACAGCTTCTCCTGGCTTTTCTACTCTGTATGCTGTTTAACAACTGGTCAGATCATCCAGAGTGGCACTAAGGATTTCCAGTTACACAGTGAGACTCTCACTCCTGTCAATCAACATCAGGTCAGATAAGAATTAAAATGCTTTGCGAAAAGTTTCTGCCTATTGGCAGCTGCCTGATCACATCCAATAAAGACAGAGCTCTAGTTTGTAGGTCAAACGTGGTTAGTGTTGGTACATACACAGAGCATCCAAATTGAAAAAGCTTTGTCATAAATCAATGGGACACCTCCTCTTCTGTAGAATTAAAGGATTAATTTGCAGTCCGATTTTTTCATTATCAGAAGTGTTTTGACTTTAAAAGAAAATAAGAAAATGTTTCCTCTTTATGCAGTGGACTGGAAGACAAGCAAGAGAAACAGCACAATCTAATATTCCTGCTATTAACTGATAATCTATCCATTAAACATTATCCATTCTGCTATTTAATATACTTTTCCTTATACTTCCACTTTCCAACAAACGTTATACATGCCACTTGGAAATACAGCCCTGGACACTAAATGGGCTGCCAATGAAGTGCCTAAGTTGATTGTGGTTTTAGCAACTTGGAATATTCTCTCAGAGGTAAATAAAACCACCAGCATGTCTGCAACCAAATCAATGCCTTTTGGGGGGGGAGGGGGGAGGGTGGGGGTAAATTTAAAACCTAGTAAATAAAATGAAAATAAGAGGAAGGAATACAAATAAACAAATAAAAACCAAGCCTTTATTTGCCCATATACTGTAGGTTTGCTGGGTAAGAAGGAAAAGCTTTGAAACAACAGAAGGTTTTTCTGGTACAGCTTCAAACACACAGAATGAACGCTTGTTTTCCCTGCACACATCGTGTAAGAAAGGGAAGAACTAGACAAGGGAGTGAAACCCCAGAGGCATGTGTTGTCCATGTCAGTGATTAGCTGAGCTGATCTGTGTCCTTTGGATAGTGTTCATTTTCCTCTCACCATCTGGAGGATCAATTGACCAATGAAATGGAAACACATCCTAATTATCTAAAATGATAACTGCCAGAGAAGTGGCCTTATCATTCATTCATTTCTTAGACAGCTTTTGAAACTCTGATGCTTTATGACTCACAGGCATACAGTTTCAAAAGAGATCAGGAGAGGAGAAAAAAGCAAAGACAAGTCAATGCATTTGTTCCTGCACTCGCTGTACCTTACCATCCAATTATTTTTTTTCTCATTTCAGAAACTGCCAGAAGTCTCTAGATGAACACAGGATCATTCAGAGAGCTCAGGAAGTCATTCAGACAAAAAATCCTGCTCAGGGCAGGATCAACTATAAGGTTATAAGAGTTAACTCAGGCCTTTATTCCAGTCTCTATACCTCCGTGGTTTAGAGGATGTACAACCTCTCGGGGAACCTCTTCCATTGGATGAACATCCTCATCGTAAAGATGAGTAAAGAACTCCAGTGTTCCCTTGTGAAGTACAATAAGACATTGTAACTTAGCACAGAGTTTAGTGGTAGTTGCTGAGTTGCATAAACAACTGTAAGCATAACGTATGGGTTCACTTCAATTCTTGAAAAGAAAAGCTTATAAAGCTATACACTAGTGTTTCTGAAGAACTGTAGAATATCTTAAATTCATAAGTAAAATTAGATAGCATCACTATTTACTGGCCAACGTCAAGCCAATATTAATATACAGGGAATATCACACTACCTGGTTTGTCAGACAAGAAAACAGCCTGCTTTGGATCGGTGCAGTGGGAGGAGTCTGAGACCACTCTCAGCAATGCAGTATTGAAGTATTAAAAGGCAACCTAATATGCACTACTACATATCCTCAAACACTTCCCCAGACGTGAATAATCCTCTCAGTAGCTCTTTAGAAACATAATCTACTTTGCAAACTGGGAAAGTGTGACAAAGTAGTGTAAAGTCTCATCATGAACTCTGCACTGAAACAAAAGCAGAGCCAGAAGCAGCATCTTTGCACTCAGGTACTGAGCATGGGAAAAAAACATTGATGGCCTTCTCCCAAAGAACACAAGGGAAGAAAAGAAAAGAAAAAAAAAGAAACCATAGACACTACAGTTAGGGGCACAATGAAAGACCCTATTCAAAGAAGAGGTTGTGAGGGTAAAAAGATTCAAGAAATAGTCTTGCCAGCATACCAGATGAAAATCAAGAAGCATCTAACTGTCTATTTTTAACATCCACACTCTCCAGAGTGAAGCTGCTAAAACAAAAGCAGCTGCTCACTTTTCACACGCATGACTGCCATTCTGACCCTTTAAAAAAGACAATGCATCCCCAGCGGCAAATGGAACGGCACAAGAACAGAATTCTTTTCCTGGTTTAGATCTACCTTTTGTTCACTCTCCAGAAAGCGTCTCAGGTCATCTGTATCCAGGAAGTCCTTGTGGTTGCTGTAGGTGAGCATTAGCAAGTACAAATCACGTCGTGTTGACATCATCTTGTAGAAGGTGCAGAACTCATCAAAGCCTAGCGTGCCCTGGTTATCATCTGTATCAGCCTCCTGCATTACACAGCAATAAGGCAATGAAATAGCAAACTGTCTTGTAAGAGCCTGAACAAATCTTAAATAAACAAACGCCTGAATGAGAATAACGTGTCACTGAAATTAAACACATGCTGATGCTGCCTGACAAGGGCCTGCTAGAGCAGATTGGTCAATTAGACTAATATTTGTCAGATTAATGCTTTCCCCTTTGAACCTTTTATATGTATGGATTAGTGCACGAGCTAAGACAACTTCTGAAGGTCCTTCTTATTGCACAAGAACACAGGGATACTGAACTTCAGATCAACAGGTGTAGCAAAAAAGCAACTTCACAACGTGTCACAATGTGGTATCAACACTAGACAGCACCTGGTGTAATCATTTTTTCTGTAAAAAACAACTTATTTATTACTTATTTCTTATTTCTGGAGCATTCTTCGATTTACCAAATACACAGTGCAGTATCTCTCAATGGAGAGAAAACAAATCAGTTGCTGAATCATTGATCTTTTAGACAAATTTCATTTTCATTTCTTACCTTGAACATTTGCTTGACTTTTTGTCGGGGTAGGTTGACATTCAGTTTGTGCATTAGTTGGAGCACTTCATTAATACTCAGACAGCCATCACCATTTTTATCTGCTTCATCAAATGTCTGCTTCAACCACATTGAACAGGAGTTAAGGAACATCATGGAATATCAAGGGATGTTACTGAACATAATATATATAAAATGCTTAGGGAAAACTGTACATATGGGACGAGGAATAAAGGAAAGCTCAAGATAATATATAACATAACTGCTTGTCTTATTTCATGAAGAAGTTCCTAGATTTGTTATGCTCAGTATTCAACACTGGCTATTTTACCCAAACTCTGAATTGAATTCTGAGCAAACAGAAATGATGCATCATGTTTTGTCTTGTACAATCAAATGAAAGGGACAGCTTTACACAGGGAGTAACAGATGAAGGAATATACCTGTATGTTCAGTCCATTCTTGCCCAATCACCTTTTTCAGTCCGCTCTCTTGCCCAGTCCAATTTTCTTCAAGGACTTCTCTCTCAGTCTCTGGAAACAGGGAATGGAATGGGAATCACTTTGAAACTTTGAGCCTAATGCTTGCTTTTAGTAAAACAAATACTTAGAGGAATTATTGTGCTGTTAAGTGCTCCAACCACTGGAAAATGCTCTCTCAACCAGTTTAGGAAGGATATTGATCTCTGGTTCTTTGGCGTTTTGAGAGGCTGTCTTCATCACTGATCCCTGCCATCAGGTATTTTAGCCCTGTGATCCAAGTACGTGCTTCATCTCCACTGGAAGACACCAGGTCAAGGGATTCCATATGATCTCCATAGTAGATGCTGAAGCAGCAGTTAGGATCAAAACTGCCATCAGCATAGCGCTGAAAGATCTCCGATTGCTTCCCCTCACAAACTTCTTGAATAGAGTCGATGGAAACTAGAAAAACAAGAGCATGCAGCTCATTAGTAACTGTGTGGGAAAATAATCGTGCAGGCTGGCAAACAGTAAGATTGCCCTAAAAAGGAATCCCTTTTTGTCTTGATTTAAGTTCTCTCTTTTAATTACACTGATGAATCACACTGCTGCTTGTCCAAGAACGTAATAAACGATCTTCCAATTGGATCAAAAAGAAAAAGCAGCTGTAACAAAATTAACCTAAACTGCAGAAATTACTGGAGTATGGGAACACAGAGACGTGAAACAATCTGCATATTAACAGAACAGGATAATACTTCTAGCTTCCACTCCCTTGTATGCTGCCTTAAGATTCTTAAGGGAAAATACCCTACTCTTCCAAGAGCGTGACTGATTTGAGGATTGCATACTGAAATAAAAAAGCTGAATCATGGTTTTACAAATTTTACTCATTATGAACAAACGTAGAATTAGGGAAAAGTAACACCAAGACAGTGAAATAGATACAGCCAGCAGACTGTTGCAAAGGCTTCATCCTGACACGGAGAGTAGTCCTAGAAAAACTGGTGGTCTGGGACACCTTCAAATCTATTACACTGTGAATACAATCCCTGTTCTAATTCATGCAAAGGGCAGAGAAGGCCTAGCCCAAACAGGTTGTGTTTATCTTCTACTCACATTCCTTCCTCTTCAGATAAAAGGACAAAGCAGATGAAAAGTCAATTCCATGCAATTTTATGAAATCAAAATTTCTACCTCTTTGAAAGAGAGGTGAAGCAATGAAAATGTCTGCAGTTGGCCAGAAAAAAAAGATTCATCTTTTCAATAAATTCCAATTTTTCTGCTTTTTAGTTTGATGTGGAGATGTGCAGATGCTAAATACTCACAGTCTGTGCACCTTATAATTACATGAACAATTTATTTCCCTTGTAATGTTCCTGTTCCCAAGCTGATAGAAGATAAATTCTAATAATAATAGTAAGGGGGGGAAAAAAGGACAAATTTTAGTTTTGCTTTGTTGTAATTGTTCTCTGGAGATTACAACAAACAGACATCTGTTTGCTGTGGTATGGCTACCGTGCAGCTGGACAGTATGTTATACACAGACAAACTGCTAAAGTTTAAAAGGGAAAAGTTATTAAGGACAAAAACATAAACTGGATAATTAATTAAGTTTCACTGTGCTGAAGGTAAGTGATTGTAAATTGCTAGGAAGCTCCTCTGAAGGAAACAAGTCCCCTTCCCAGTTTGCTTTGAGGCAAATACCTTGAACACTGAAGCCTAGGCTCAGCCTGATTCTTTATGATTTTGCCCTGGTTTCTCTTCCTATACTTCAGCTTATCTGAAGTACACAAAACCAGTGCTGTGATCTAGTCAGAGACCATTGCACATTAAGGAGCCAGAGCTACACATAACAGTTGCACTGAGGTTGTGCTGTGCTCAGCAGCACGTACAGGTTGTCCTCCTGGCCTTTTATACTACATGTGTGCCTTGGCTGTAGGGTAACTTACCTGGCTTACTGTAACTGCTGTCTGCAGGGAGCTCTAACTCAATACCAGCACTTACATCACCTGTGCATCCCTGATTTTCTCTATAGCTACAGCAGCAAGTATCCATGGGAACATCCTTTATGTCTGACTGTAGAAATGATCAATAGAATTGTTCTCTCCCGCACAAAACTGTAAGAGCCCAGAAGAGCAAAATGGAGTAACCTTTCCAAGCATGGCATCTACATAGCATGTTGAAACTGACTGATGCTTACCTACAGCACGCATATACATATGTTTCTGACAGTTTAAAAAAAAAAAAAACAAAAAACACTAACATTTCACTGTAAAGTACTTTTCAGCCATATAGTAAGCAATTACTCAGGCTACAGGAATGAAAAGGTAAAAGGTAATAATCCTGTAGAGAAATCCTCTGGAGAAAGGAATGAAATCTCAATAATGCAAGGCCCCCGGTTCACACAGGTTTTCCCTGCAACTGACTTCCAACATAGTTAACTACTGTTATCTGCATACTTAACAACAGCAATTTAATCTTCATAAACCATTAATCATTATAAAATAACTTAATGCCCTTTAAAATCCACATACAGAATTTTGCTTGATCACCTGTGAATGAATCAAATCCTTCATGCCGGTTTGGGTTTATTCACAAGGGGGCAAGATTCTACCTGGAAGGAATCAGAATAAGTGGTTCTGTGGTTGACACTCACTTTTGGCTCTCTCATTCTTTCGGGAGGGTCTCCAACGAATGCATGACTTGTGCTCATCCAGGTAATAGAAGCGGACCAACCCTTTGGAACCACCACGGAGTTTGATCATTTGGGTACCAGCCTGCATGGAGCTCATACATCTTTCCACTGAAGAGAGAAATGAAGTAATATCAGTATGTCAGACTTTGTTTCCTTTAAAAGTCACCTTCACAGGAAGAAAACATACGAACAACATACAGTTGTAACAATAAATAACAAAAACATAGAATATAAATCGCTACAGGAAAAACAAGCCCTGTTTCATGCTTTTTGTTACAAAGATGCTCTAATCTCTGTTCATCATTTATGGTTCAGTAGCACTACTATCTTTTTGGACTTCTAGCGGTTGGTATGTGTTTGTGGAGGAGTGGGAGTATTTTAGCATGTGAGGGTGAAAGGAAGTTGGAGGAATTGAGTCATTTGAGTATTTTTATACATGGAGGAGCTTGGTCTGAAGATCAGTGACTGAAGTCCAGAATGGTTCTGGGTGACATCAGACGGCTCTGGCTTAAGCCCATCTGTTTATAGACATTCTACAGGCAGCATCACACCACTGCCAAGGTCTGCACTGTTACCTGATCTGGGCAGGATGCATCCTAGTCATATGCTTCAGAACAACTGCTTTTCCAAACACTGAATGGAAAGGCAAATAGATTTCAGAGTCCTGTCTTCAGGGCCTTGGAACATGCAACATGTTTCTGGGCCTACAGAAACCCTTCAGTACAGGTACGCTGTAAGAGCAAGCTGTTCCCTTAAAATCTCACTGAACCAAAGCAGCATCCCCAAGTGCCAACAGAAGACTCCCACACCCACCAAAGGTTCAGCACTGCAAATCCATAGAGAGAGAACGACTGTTTCACTTAATAATAACTCTCCAGAAATGACACTACAGCTACAGCTGGCTCTTTGATAGATAAACCCAATCTCCATCTTCTCCTGTCAGGAATATCAGTTCCAGTTCAGACAAGAGATATCAAATCTTAAAATCAACATATAAATAATACATAATGCATACATATATCTCTACATATCCAGTACAAGGGATCTTTCTCAAACTACTGTGGAAGCTTAAGAATTTTGTCACTGCGTACCTGAATAAATAAAATAGCCTTACTAGAGTCCAGTGGCCTACTCTGAAACAAGACAACAGGACTGTTCTAAATATTTATTTTGAAGACTGAAAACCAAACAAATATTGCACAAAAAATTCAGAATTTTGGCAACCAAGAGCAGAGAGCAAACCTACCATTCTGCGGGCATGGAGGACAACATTTCGAAAGCTCACACATGACAAAGTGAACAGCATTACATTTGCACTTTGAGGGGAATGAGAAGAGATTAATAATGAAAATATAACTGCAAGGTTCTTGAAGTCTAAAAAGCGTCCTGGCAACAGATCAAAGTAACTGCAAAATAACACAGGACTAGGGCTGCGTCTCACCACACCACTGCTAGAAAAGTTGGCGCTAAACAAGATTTAAAAATAAAAGCTCAGATGACTCTGCCTTCAGCAACGGAGCGGCAGGCATGCAGTCCATATCTTACCAAAACGGCCAATTTTCCACCGTGGAGAAGCTACGATGCTGCCACCAACCCAGAAAAATTCTTCAGCCAGGCGGGCAACTGAAAACTTATTCTGAAGCAAAGGGCTTCCTGTGGCATCCATGGCTGAGACAAAGGGCAGCTTCCAATCAAAACGCAAACACTGCAGGCCTTAGCAGAGATTAAAATTCGTAGTTGCAAACTTTTGATGTAAGTTATAGAAATATTATTATGAAAAACACTTCAAGGTAATTGATGATCTCGAAAGTCCAGCGGTATTCTTCGGGCTGTTACAGAAAGAGCAGTTTAACAGTAAATTCAGGCCTCCTCCTGTGCTGATTTAAACTACTCAAATAGCAGCAAAATCCTTCTCATTCTGTACGATGTTTCTATGTGTCCGGTTTGGAGGACAGATATGTTTCAGTTCAGCATTTTAAAGCAGACAAATGAAAGAAACTGAGGCAAAATGGCATGAAGGCGACTCCATTTATAGACAGAAGGATCTTCTGACAACGTTCTTTTCCGGTGCTACATTCCCAGCTGCAGAGCACCCAAGACAATACACCAGCTCACAGCTGTTGGCTTTCTCCATGCTGCTTTCTTCTGACAGCGAGAGTTACGTAGCAGGACCTCTTTTGCACATTTGATGGCACGCAGATTTGCAGGCGCTCCTGCTGATGGCTTCACTTGCTCTTCAACAACAGCAATACCCGTTGCAGTAAATAAGAGCAATGTCAGTAGCACAATCCATCCCCCCAAGTCACCCTTGCCTTTCACTGTGAATCTGGCAAGGTGTTAAGCTCTTCAGTCTCCTTCCATTTCGGGGGGAAAAAAAGAAAGAAAGGAATGACCCCTTTTTCTTCTCACACAGCTCTTCAAAATATAATTGTAGAAATCTTCATCTTTTCTTAGAAGGTTCTCCTCAATATTTTAGTGGGAATATTTCTCTTCAGGCAGGAAAAACTAGATACGCTGAAAACACAGCAACATGTTTGCTTGAAATCCTAAATCCCCCGTATGCACTAATCCTAAAGCTGTGGTTCTGCCCTATCCAGTCAAGGGATTTAGGTGACACGTTACAGCCGTAGAAAAATAAGAAGGTTAAAAAAAAAAGTACTTTTTTTTTCCTTAGTTAGCAGCATGTTTTCATCTCACAATCTGTGTGGCAGTGTCTTTGCAAAATGAGACAACCCCACAGAAGATGTTTTCCTATGAAACAAGTCAGCCAGCTACACTGTACAGAACAAACGCTGTTCACAGAAACATGGAACAGAGCGCATGAAAAGTGGCAGAGATAAAAGCAGGTAAGTATTAATTTTTAAAAAGCACTAAGTTACTATCTCATTCCCTTTGAAGTGCATCCAACAAACCCCAAATACAGAAATCTGTCATTTATGTTATCACAACCTCTTAATCTACACTAAGTACAATACACAATTGCTCTTGCCATCTGTGATCTGCACAAGAAACACAACATGCTTCTAGCTTGATGAACTAAGCACAAGTGTCCATTTAAAACGTACTCATTAAGTACTTCCCACTCCTCCTTTCACAGTTTGCAAAAGCTTTGTAGCAGATAATTCTAGAGATGACTGATTCTCAAGCACAAGTTGTTTATTTCACTGTACAGCTATCTTATAGAGGACTGGCCTCAGATTTATTCAGAAATGAAAACCAAAGTGAATCTGGGCTGCGGGTAAAGGACAGCAACACACCTGTATATACCCTTGCTGCTTTCTTCTACTTACTCAAATGCTTCAGCAACAGCCTTCCATTCTCCTCACATGTCTTTCAAGAATAAATTGGTGAGATACCTCCAAGCCAATCACTCCTATAAAAAGCTAAGACACGTACATCTACACAACTGAAAAGTGTGAAGCTACAGGCAAGAACTCCCGAAATACTGTTCTAAAGATCCTAATTCCCTTTTCATGAGAAGCCAGCCCCAGCATGGCTGGATCAGAGAAATGTAAGCTTAATTACATGCTCTGCCCTACACTTCCCTGAATGTCTTAAATAAAGGAGCAAATGTCTTTGGATAGTTTGCCTGCTACAGATTATCAGATCTCCACTTGTAAAATGGGGAATGCACCTCACAAGGGAAGAGGCAATTGAGCCCTAAGGTCCTTAACTATAAGGAGACAGAGTTAAGGTAACTTCTGCAGCAAACCAAAAATGCCAATATATCAATTTCACAGTTGAGAACTAGAATTCTGCACAAGCCAGATTTGCATGTGGATTTGTTTTCATTTTAGTACAGAAAATTCCTGTTTTTTATAATACCAGAAAAGAGAAATTCTCTCAGTGTTCAAGTTAAAGTCAAATTTATATTCTAAAACCCACCAAGAAGAGGTCAATTCAGATCCTTTTGGTTGACATCTCTCCATCCTTCAGGCCTAATGATCACAAATGGAGAAAAATAACATCTTTTTAAAAGTCCCATGTCCTGACTGTGGCTAGATACTAGGTAAGTGTAGGGGAAAGAAGCAGAAAATAACAAAGAGTTAAACGTGACTTAACCTCTCCCCCAACTCTTAAGCTATGGAGCTGAGTACTTAGGATATAAGCCTATTGAAATGGGTTTCTATTCTTGCCCCACTTGACATCCTCAGAAAAATCTTGCTCACCTGATAAAACGTGCAGATTAAAGACTTCCTCCCAAGGCACTCAAAAAAAGTTATTATTCTCCAGGTGTACCAAAGGCTTTTCATGGCTCAAAAAGATTTAAAACCGAACATTATTTGAATCTGCAGGCTGCCCTGTGGCTGTTCTAAAAGTGGGATTCAGAAGACATGAAGAACAATGCAGGAATGTCAAAGGTCTTGTCAAAGAACATGCTCACTGCCACAAAGGGGCAGAGAAGTCAGTCTGCATCACACAGAGAAAGAACATCCTGCAGAAGGTACAGGAACACAGCATGTATGGTTTGGAAGAGAGAAGTGAGTAAAATGAACATCTTCCTGAGGTAAATGGGTTGAGGATTAATGCAATCCATCAGGACGGGTGGATTCATTTCCAATGCATGTTTTAATGTTGAAGCAAGGGAAAAGTGCTAAAAATTTTATTTAACTTGAGGGGAAACAGATAAAGCCCTCAGTAGAAAAGAAAAAACTAAAAATTTGAGTGCAAGAATTTTTAATAGCTAGTCCAGATTCTGATCTCTCTTGTGCCTTCTGTACATCAGGGTTCAAGCATAAAACAGAAGAGAAGTAATACAAGAGGTAAATTAGGCTCTGAGCATATCAAGAAGTTTGTGTGTGACACATCTGCATTTCAGTTGAAGACAGCACAGAAGGTATTTCAGGTGTACACAGTGAACTAGTTTTCAAACTATAAATATATTTCCAATGTATTAGTTGTTAGAGTACTAATACAATATATTAGTGTTGCCAGAGTATTGAACATCACAGAGCTGGTACTGTAACAGGTCTGTAAATCCTCCAGGATTAGATTTGTCACTTCACAGCCACGCACTGTTTATCCTTGCATGAACACGCTTCACACTACAGACCCACTTTACCAGATTAACAAACTAACCTCATGCACAAGGCTGATTCTACAATACT